TTTTTTTTCTCATAAAAATAACGATAATTACTTTGGAAAAAAAGAAAGAAACTAACTACCTGTATGAAATGGTGTTTAAGTTATTCCTAAAGCCCTTTTAAATGTAATCACACGCATAATAATACTTTAAGAGATACTTTTTAAATATTTTTTCGATAAAACATGGTTATATTTTACCATTTTGGGGGGGCTTAAGCCCGAAAGCCCTACCCCTCTCCCCCCCCGTAGATCCGCCCGTGGTCTGATTTCAATGTTTTTAAACTGATTTTGTAGTGATTCTTTGAAATAAGCATTGCCACAATCAATTATAAAATTTATGCTTTTTGAGTTATTCAAAAAAATGCTTCTTTTATTTCATAACTTTTTTTTTTCATAAAATGTCGGCAGGATCTGACTATTTTTCCTCCCTGATTATTGGATTTGATGAAGAATAAACAAAGTTATGGCGCTCCGACAAAAAAAACAACTTTGAGAAATAATACATAAAGAGAATAGTGTTGTGCTGAGCTGGTAACCGTAGAAACCATTTATAATTAACCACTTTTAATTAGGAAATTTTTTTTCCCTCAAGTTCACTAAACTCCTCAGAATTTTTTCCTAATTCAACGTCACAACACTAGTTGGAAAGCTTATTTATTGCTCTAAAAAACTACAATTTAGATTTAATAGCTTTATAAAAAAAATAAATCCTGTAACGTTTTTATTTTATATCTCCAGTTCTAATATGTTCTCGGGGATGTGATTTGTGTCATTCGTGTAGCTTGTATTTACGCTTAATCCTGCTAATTTTGGTGTGGTTAGGTGCAATCATGTTGAAGTTTATTAACACTTTTATAATTTTCAAAAAAAAAAAAAAAAAAAAGACGAATAGCGTGTCTAGATAAAAATTTGAAGAAATTTTTTTTTATTTTTCGATTCCTATGAGAATCAGTTTTTCAGGCTATTTCGAGTTGCGGAATACAAACCTCAACTTTGTTTGACCTTAAAAAAAAAACATTTCAACCCAATTTCTCCATTTGTCGGTACAAATTGTTTCAACACTGTACTCATACGAAAGCTATATACCAAATATCATAGTTAATTCCAAATAAATCGGTTAAAATAGAGCTTTCCTAAAGTATATAAACCGAAAAGAAAAGAAAACATATATATAATCTAACAAATTCCAATAGATTTCGATAATTTTTTTTTTCGTTTTGTAGGGAATTTAGTGCTCTTCCAAATAATCATGCGGCCAATCAATAATAAAATGGATACTTTTTGAGTTAATCACAAAAAAAGTAAAAAAAAAATTATACCCTTATTTTCATTATTAATAATTAGTTTTCATTAATGTAATTCGCAATACTTTCTCACCTACTTACGATAATGAAAGTATGTTATCAGTAAAAAACACAAAATTGAAATCTGGCCCACTTACCTCGTATTTTGATTCCTTCTAATTGCAGGATTACTGAAATATTTATATTCAATGAAAGTTCACTGTTATGTAGCGGTCGAATTACAATTTTAAACACCTCAAAATGTTTCAAGGAAAATATCTTTGGGTGAATATGTGTTAAACCACCATATGTATAATGTTATACAATAGAATATAGTATGTATATGCTAAAGAATATTTTAAATAACGATGAATCAAGTGAATCAACAAACAGATATTAAGCTATGTGGTTTGTAATGGCATGCAGTAAATTGGAATATTGCATTATAGTTTTCGTTGGTCAAAATTAGTGCCGACCTTAGACATTCTTTAACCCGAGGGCAATGATCTCACACCCCCCTAAAAAAAAATTATTTTTTAAGCTATTTTATATTATGTAATATTTCAATTTTATTTCATTCAATATTTCTCTAATACAGTTACTGTATTAATAGGCAGAAATTATTTATTTTAATATGTTTTGTATTTTATTTAATTTCTAATGAATATAGACCTAAGGCCGGTCAAAATATTTTCATTTTTTGATAATTTGTTGTGGATCGTGTAATAATTATTTTCTTCCTCCGAATCCTCGGCTTAAATAATTTATTAGGGTTATATTCACTGAGGGAAAACCTCAACTGAAGAAACAAATCATTATTCTAACAGCATTCTAAATTACAAAACTGCTTCTCCGAAGAAAAACGTGGTATCTCACAACTACCAGAGTCTTTGTTATTAAAGACAAAGAGATTTCTTATGAAATGGAATTAAATAAAAAAATAACTAAAAGCTATGATTTTAAGCTTGCTTTAATTAAGTCAATTATAGTAATAGCAGGAAGAAGTTGATTGCAGATGTGATCAATAGGCATGCTATTTATTATAGTAATATATTAATGTAGTAATATAGTGTTATATAAGTTTTTCAGTTGACGTTATGACTGACTCCATTTTCAACATTTTTTATTATTAATCATATGTATTATTTCTAAATTTTTTTTTCGGTATGCCATAACTTCGTCAATACTTCATCAAATCCAATGATCGACCACTCATTTTGAAGATATTTTTCTCCTTCACATGCAAAATATAGCCCTATCACCCCTAAATTTCTGGGGAAAAGTTATGAAGGAAAAGAAACTTTATTTGCGAATAACTCAAAAAATATGCATTTTTTTTCTTGATTGTGCCCATGATAATTAGAAAGACGGTCATGAAGAGCGATAATTCAGCTTTCCAACGGTTGTAGAAACATTGAATTAGGATAAAAACCTGAGGATTTATGAATGTTTTAGTTAACGGCAGACAAAAACATCATAATGAAAACTGAAGTCGTTGCCATGACCACTATCTCGGCACAGCTCTTCTATCCTATGTATTATTTCTAAAAGGCGTTTTTTGTCGGTACGCCATAACTTCGTCAATACTTCATCAAATCCAATGATCGACCATTCATTTTGAAGATATTCTTCTCCGCCACATGCGAAAAATAGTACTTTCTTCCCGAAATTTTTGGAATAAAGTTATGAATGAAAAGAAACTTTATTTGCGAATAACTCAAACAGTATGCACTTTTTTTTGCTTGATTGTGCCCATGATAGTTAGAAAGATTACTAAATTACCTACAAAACAAAAAAAAATCGGACAATTATTAACAAAGATACAGTCCATTAGTTTTGGTATACTCAATAATGTCTTACTCTTTAAAGATATTGCATTTAGGAATAGAATAGTCTACTACACTTTTTTTGCTGGCTTATATATTAACTTTATTATTTTTTAAAGGCATTTGTTTGTTCTTACATTTTATTTTTTTTAATACTTTAGAAAATCACATGATCGAGGCTTTATTTTGTCATTATTACCTTTATTATCTTTTCAGTTAACATTTAAAAATAGGTCCTAGCAATGCAATTTGTACTAATATTTTGGTCTATTATGTTAAATGAAATATTGTAATAGACCAAAGAAAAAATATTAATTCTTTCCATACATAATACATAGGATCTATTTTTTTGCTATTTCTTCACTGAACAAAATTTTCTGGGAATTATTCGCACGGGCCAACTAATTTTAGTGATATTTCTAGTGCATTTCATCTAGCACTGCTGGAAAAGGTTAAAAGATATCTTAAATTAAAATCATGGTCAACTATCTTCATATACCATTATGGTAATATTAATTTTTACAATACAATAATAGTTTAATTCGATATGTAAGTGGGATAATACATATATGCATTCCAACTTTTATATATTGAACACGAAGCCTCTTAGATAAAAAAAAATCGATGTGTGGAAATTTCAGAGTAAAAAGAATTAAATCATTATTTAGAAATAAAAGAAGTATAAAAAGTAATTTTCAGTTTATTTCACATAGGATATTCAATACCAGTACATTTATATTATCAAACTGTGAAGATTACGTAAATCGTTTCCAATTTCTTGCTAAACTTTTAAACGTTTTAATAATTTAATCACTGTTTTAGTAAGTTTTTGTGACAGTAAGTGTATATCATTACTTCATTTTCTGTTATTATAGTCGAACTATTGTTTTAATTTTTTATTTTAACATATTTACAAGAAGAAAGAGAAAGTTAAACTGAATTTAAAATGAAAATATCACCCCCTGTCACTAGCTGATCCAGGATTTAATTTTTTTTTTGGTGGGGGGGAACTTCAGCTCGAAAGCTTTTTGTTTTATATATATAACGATAATTACTTTGGGAAAAAAAATAAAGATACTAACTACCTATATGAAATGGTGTTTAAGTGATTCTTGAAATCCTATTAAATGTAAATACACGAACAATAATACTTTAAGAGATAATTTTTTAATATTTTTCGCCATTTAGGAGGGGCTTCAGCCTGAAAGCCTCCATCCCCTCCTCCCCGTAGATCCGCCTATGCTCTATGTAAGGAATTTATAATTGGTTTATTCATTTAGTATACCTTGTTTTTTTTTCTTTTCAATTATTATCCATTAAAATGTTTAATGGAATTAGTTTTTTATTTATTTTATAATTATTATAATTTTGTAAATATAAATATAATATAAATATAAATATAAATTTTGTTAATAAAAATATAAAATAATGTTTGTATGTATTCTCTAGAAGACATTAATGTTAAATGATTTAAATTAAATGTGTATATATTTCACATCTACACTTAAGATCAAATTAAACTTGAACCTCGTAAAGGGAAAATTGGACATTTTAAATTACAAAAAGATTTTTATTGTACATATGTAGACATAGTGGCAACTTTTAATCAACTTAAAACTTTGAATGAAAAACGCATTCTTATGATAAAATGCATTTTATGATGTTCTAAGGTTTGAATGTGTGTGATTTTTTTTTCTATAGGAATTTCTTCAGATTCATGAAATGAGTTCGATAGAGAATATAAGATAAGAGATTTTCGAAATATGAAAGCAGGCTGCAGCTATAGACAAACCTACAAGATTTTATTTTTTATCTTCTAAATTTACATTAATATATAAGAGAAAACATCATATAATTACATCATATTTTTGTTGTATACATTACAAAAGATAAGGATGGGTTTTAGCGGTAAATTTATTATAGTTTCTATGGTCGCCCTTGTATGAAATTCCAGTACACATAAGTTGCACTATATTATGAATAATAGACCATAATTTGATTGTAAATAATTACATGATAATTTCAATATTTAAACAAAGTTATTTCCAATAAGAAAACTATTGTACATACTGCATAACAAGCTGCGAAAAGTGTAAATACCAGCGCCATGTTAGTAGGTGCTTCAGGGACTTCAATATAGTTTTTTGAAATATGTCGGCCTTCCACTTCTCTGATTATTTTCTGTGTTAATCCAGTTTCAAAAGAGAGCGACATTAACTTATCGATTTTGTCGTAATATGGACTGTATTTCGGAAGGACGAATGTTTTCAACTGTCTTAAGAACGTTTTACCCACCCTCCTAACTGGAAGATTCAGTTTTTCCGCAATGAATTTCATAGGCTGTTCTGCTGCTAAAATTGTAAAATTTCTGTGCTTTGCCAGCCTAACAGCCAATTTCGTTATGTCGCACTCTTCGCTAGGTATTATAGAATTACTTTCATCCGCTGCTTGCATCAAACACGATATTTTTTCTAGATTAAGTTCAGGCAGTTCAATTTTTTTCTGGTTATAAAGACTTTCTATTAACGTACCAGACATTACACTATTAAATATCATTTGATACCATGCCCACGATATGAATACTATTCTCACAGGGCTCCTTTTAGGCGTTTTCCGTATCGGCTGTCCTAATACCACCCTTAAAACATTCAAAAAACACAGGCTCGGAGTTGAAAACATCCGTTCACCTTCTGAAAACATTGAAAAACAACAGGACATGAATGTGAAAAGAAGTAAATGACTTCCGAAATCCAAAATATCCATCCCCAACCATACCTGTTTCAAAGCAGGTACTGGAGTGAACCATACATATTTTTCTAAATAATGTGGATACGTCAACAGGAAATGATTAATCCTGTTCACAGATACCACGTAACCACCAGCAGCGAGGTCTCCCAAGTTACCCAATCCGTCCGTCCAAGTTCCGTTCACAAGACTTCCGTAGTTTTTTTCTTTCAGCCAAACAATGTCATTAATACCAAAAATATTCAGTATCATGGTTAACAACAAATACTCGACGCCATCATTCGGAGATCCGATGAAAAACGGTTCCCTTTCAATGTAATTTATTTCGAAAGCGCATTCCCCAAAATGTGAATATTGCTCCGAAAAAAATGGGCAATTACTTGATCTTATAATTCTGTAGTTTCCACAACCGACGTGAACACTCCTAAGCAATAAGCCATTCACTATGGCAATGACATTATAAATTCTACGTGACCAGAACATGTATATCAGTTTTTCGCCATCATCTGGAGTACCATCAACTACAGCTGTCACTGAAAGAGGATTATAACTGGCATTCAAGTAATTAAACTCTTTTAACTGTTCTAATGTTCCAGAAATAGCGAGGTATTGCAATCTGGTGCGTTGAAAAAAGGATAGCCGGTTGATTATAGCTACAGAAATGTTCAATGTGAACAAAGACTTAATGAAGTAGTCTGAATGATTCCAAACAAATACATCCTGAGATCCTGAGTTAGAGGTTATTCGAAGCGCACATTCTTCGCTTTCGGGCAAGAATCCAAGACGTTCTGCAGAGCCAGGAAGCAACATTACTGAAGAACGAAACCGACGAAACGCTATTAATGAAAAACAAACCAGCTTCCTGTAACGAAAGCAGTATAATCGATACATCAAATTATCTCTTTTGGCCGCATGAACACTAATCAAAAACCAATATTTTGATGATATGAACTTCAGGAAGAATTCGGCAGTCAACATTGTTTCAGCAACACTCAGAATAAAGCATTTCGCTCTAGCAAATAGAAGTCGAATTAATTTGGATAACTGTAAAAAAAAATATATTTGATTGATCACTTAAATTTATATGTTAAATCAAATAAGTTTCCCAACATTGGCGGAGATTTGCGTCAACCCAATCTTTGTTCTAAAAAAAATATAACTAAACATATTGATTGACTTGCTGAATAAGTGTACAGTGTAATGAGGTTTTTAGTTCACCATAAAGGAGGAGGAAAACCAATTGGCTAAGCTATAATATTAACGACATGATTATACAAAATTACGATCATATTCAACTGATAAATATTCACCTTTTTTTTTTTCTCGTAGTTTTTGTTCGTATTTTATGTTGTTTTTTTTTTTTGTCAACAGTCATTCTGAGAATGTAGTGACCAAATGTCAAGATGTTTCCAGTTTTAGCATTTTGGAGTTAAAATGTATTTCGTGTTGGAGCCATCCAATATGAATCTTGAAGTATGGCTCTGGCTTCACTTGGTTGGCTACCTGTAGGATATCCCATCCTTGCTACCTTAGTTTTTTTAATTTTAACAGAGCCATATGAACATGTGGTGGCAAGTGTGTTAAAACATTTTCCATTTAAGCATTCTGGAGCCTGAAGCTGGCCAGGCAGATTAAAATGTATTTCGTGATGGACTTAAAAAATAAATCATGACCTTCCACACTAGTTTATAATTGATTGATTACAAAAGACATTCATTGTTGACATTTATCAGCCTAAGGAAGAAACATGCATTGCTAAACATATCTTATCACATTGCTCCAAACAATCAACTTACAGATACGTATCTTGGCCCAAAACATGGTTCAGCCTTAACTTAACAAGGGTATGTATATAGAATACCAAAATATTTTTATTTTCTATTCAAACAATATTGTATCGATGAAATTCCGATTTCTTAATTTAAAAAGTTTCGTTATTGGCTTTAAAATTTAGTAAATCATTTTACTCTTGTTTTCAAAATTTCACAGCATTAAAATTTAAAATTTTTGAATTTTCAAGTTATTGGTGAGAATGGTGACAACTACCCTACTTCCCATCTCTCATGACTATCCCTCACCATCTCTGGTGTATGTCAGGTACCAATTCGTTGCATTGAGCTGTTCTTTGGTGTCATAAATCTGTCAGTTCAGATCAAGAATTTAAAAAGAGCTTGATTTTTAGTAGATGGTTTTGTATTTTTAAAAAAATAGTATCTTAATAAAGTTCTGACATAAAGAATTCACGTTAAGCCATGCTATTCAGAACTTCATTTCAATAGAAAATAAGTTTTTTGTTTTGGTATTTTATAATAGTAAACTATGTTTTTATATAATACCACGTACGCTAACACTGTGTACTATAAACACTTTTTTTTAAACTATCATCATTTACTATATTATCAAAATTTGGGTGTGTATGGCATACATGTATATGTATACTTTGTATTCAGAAAAGGTAACTATAATTTGTCGTTAAATATCAATTGCACAGATAAATAATTTTATTTATTTTTTAAAAATATATACAATACTAACAATTTATACTATTTACACTTCTTTTTTTTATCAGTTTATAGTAGTCTGATTAGCTAATTTGATGTCGCTTCCGACAGTACTTTCAGATTCCTGTTTAGAGGCACTTTTAGTTTCTGCTTCACTAAGAATTGTATTAAGGGCTTGATCAAAGGCTTCATTTAATTCTAAATTATTTTCTTTTTGTAACTTTGTACACAATTCAATACATTTTTGGCATAATGATGGTCGACTACGGTCACTAAGATTAACACTTGGTACATTTTTTACACTTTTGTAAAATTTCCTAAAAATTAAAAAAACATTTTAAAATTAAAACCTACATAACAAGATAAATATGTATATGAATAAATGGTATGGTGAAGTAAATATTCTTTAATTAATTAAGACACAAATACCACTCCAATACAATAAGGATTATTAGTTGATCCATTGAGTGCTGAGAGAACTCATGGACACTTCTAATTCATTAAGTATAATTAGTTGCCTAAATATGCAACATCGAATTACAATACAAATCAAATTCATTATGATTTTATAAATATGACTTGGGTTATTGACAGCATAAAGATATTTCAGTTTATATCAATATAATTCCTAAGAAATGTTTAATCAGATTATGCTCCTTAAACTAAAGTTTTCAAAAACCAACTATAAGATGCTTAATCAGATCAACATGAGTCAAAAGAATAAACCAACGTTTAATTAATATGATATTTATGACTTTGGAATCTTTAAGGAATCCTTATTTGGATTTGCAGATCTAGCAAATTTAATTCTATTAATCAGTTTCCTGATTAAGCTATAAATTAAGGAGTTCTGGCATCCAGACCACCAAAGAGTTCTCTTAAAACAGATGGTCCAAATATTTGGATTAGCCGATGATATTGACACAAAGAGAAGATACTTTTCAGCATTATACAAAGAATTGGACATGGCTGTGAGAATTGGAACCTAAAAAAGACTTTAGAAAGATTTCTTTCAGATTTGAAAGAAGGATTCTATGAAGCATATATAGAAAGTTCCAAGAATCACCACGAAATGGCAGGAGGATAAATATAGAAATTAAGGCATTATTTAATGAATTGGACGAGTGCCAATACATCAGACTTGCAAGACTATGCTGGACAAAGCATACCCTGAAGATTGACAATAATGCAATTAGAACTATGAATGAACTTTAATACGGTAACAGGCGAATAGGATGATCATATTTGCTATGGCAAAACTGTGTAGCTGTCGATGCAAGTAAACCGCTTGGTATCAGACTTTGCCTTTCATTGGAAGGCAGCAGCAATGCAATGCTATGCCGTAACAAGCCAAGTCTCAAATGAATAGATCCTAGTACTACTTAATAAGAACAATAATCAAACTCATTCAGTTATTGAGTATAAATTATCCATACTCCATGCACATTTTTTTTTTTTGACATATTCGAAATTTCTAGCTAAATACTCTTTCATCATCCATGATGATGTAGAGACACCCAGAAGGATTTTTTCAGGCTATTGAATATTTGAATAGCATTCAATAATCAGAAGGAAGTGGAGTAGCTTGGTGGTAAGGCACTGACTTCCAATGCTCAGGGTCCCGGGTTTGAGTTTGGCTGATGAAAGATAAATTATTTATTCCAGGGGTAAATTATTGATTGACCCAGAGGTCAGGAGATCCTCCTGGAACACACCTAGCCTCTATATTGTGAGTACCCTATATAGTTTTTTCAATAATCACTATAGGGAATAGCAAAGGTAAGTTCTTACACTCATTCTTTAAAATAGAAATATTAGAATCCTCATTAGAACCAGTTGATCAGTACAGATGCATTCAGTAAAAATTGCACTCCTCAAAAATTCATAATTTAACAAATTCACAAAAATATGACAGCTTGAAACCTAACATTTTCTTTTTTCCTTTATCCTTCAATTAGAATTGCAACATTGTACTATATATTTATATTTTGTAAATAAAATTGAAGAATTTATTTTAATAAATTGACCATTTATATAAAATCATATCTTCAGTTATTTGTAAGTCAGTAATATCTCGCTAACTTTATTTTACGAAATGAACAGCTTCAATATCTGCAAAACCAACAAAATATCTTTGGTTTCATTAAGACTACCAATACAGTCATAAAATCTACATGAACGAGCATTTTTCCGCTGTAATTGACATCCAAAAAACATACACTTACATTACTGATAACTTAATAACCAAACGTTAGGCTTCTGAAAACTTATTATTTTATGCTTATATTTTATATTACTTCTTGGAGTTTGCCTGCTAAAGATTTTTATAAATCCAGGGAAGTGTTAATATCAGTAATGTGGAAAATAGAGCAATAATATGCCCTAGAGTGCCTTGCTTTGAATCACACAAATTTTTATCCCCTACAACTTAAAATGGTATGGCTAGTTAAAATTTTAGCAGGCTTTAAAACTTACGCCCTGATAACATCTTCAGGATAAAATATATTCCGGACTGGCTCTACAGGAGCAGGTCTATCATATCTTGGGGGATATTTCGGAGGAAAAGCTTGATAAACTTCATACCATAAAGGTCGATCTTCTAAACTCATCGAACCAGCTCTAATAAGCCCTGTTATCCTAAAAATAAAAGGCAAAATAAGGCATGTTAAGTATAATAAATAAATGGTATATTTGCCCAATAACAATACCCTACAAATAAATAAATGTTACCTAGTATATATAGTGCCAATTTTTTCGAGTCTGCTATGGGCCATTTTAGTACTTCACTTAAAACTTCAAAAAAATTTATATTAATGAACAACGCTCGAATGACTGGGTAGGTTACATTTGGGTTATGATAAGCGGTCTTGGGTATTAGTTCACTTGAGTTCCGCACGGATTACGCCTGGTTCACAATCACTTCGGTCACACTTGTTAATGGAGTGCCGAATGCGGTCGGGTTTATCCGAAAGAGAACGAAGGTGACCGATCTCTTGAGCCGGTCATTATTAATTTTCTCGCCATTTAAGTACTTATATAACTTTAACCATGTTCAGATAACATGTTATACAGCTGGAGCCGACTTATATTTGAAATTTAGGCTACATCAGCTTAATTGAACTTGTACAAATATTATACAGCTGTGGAAAGGAAATAGTAATAGATAAAAACCTTTAATTATTATATATCTGAATGCTATTTCACGATATTATTATTCTTATTGATGATTTCCAATATTCATTATCTTGGAATTATAAGGTTGGCTGAGGTTGGCTGGCCAGAGGTTCTTCGTTGGCTGTTTCCCTACTACATTAATTGCTTTCTTAAAATTAAACACGAATTTTTTGTTTTGTTTTTACGAATCACTACAATTAGGCTCCATTTTCGGATTACTAAGCAAAATAACTACGAATAACAATAATTACGCAGCTAATTTATTGAATAAAAATAATAGTGATTAAAACGAGAAAATAAATTTTAAGTTATAACTATAACCACAGGCGGATCTACGGGGGAGGAGAGGGCTTTCGGGCTGAAGCCCCTCCCCCCCAAAATTGAAAAATATAACCATTTTTTATGGGAAAAAAAAGTAAAAAATACCTCTTAAAGTATTATTGTTCGTGTGATTACATTTAAAAGGACTTAAGGAATCACTTAAACACCATTTCATATAAGCAGTTAGTTTCTTTCTGTTTTTCCAAAGTAATTATCGTTATTTATATGAAAAAAAAGTTCCGGGCTAAAGCCCTCCCACCAAAAATTAAATCCTGGATCCGCTAGTGACTATAACTGGCAGATCCATGGATTCAGTTGGAATTGGACATTATCGGAATAAATATTTATCTATATAACGATTAATAGATACATTTTATTTATTAATATTGTCCACTTTTCTTTAATCTAACATTATTTTCATAAAAAGCGTTCTTGACGACAACGTAATAGTGGAATCTTATATATAATAAATCCAAAAAGCTACAAAAGTACGATGAACAATTTCAAATACGACTGTATATTCATAAAAAGCTCCAACGACTAAATAATAGTGGATCCTTATCAGGGGTGCCCAGAAGGGGGTTTTATGGGCGCAAGCTAAGGGAGGCATATTTTGACGGTTTTTTTAATTTTTGTGGAGGGCACATTTTAACGGAGTTATGAATTTTCGGAATGAAAATTTTCAGAACGAGGGGCAAGAGGAAAACATGGAACAGACAGCAGCAAGTATTTATTGTGTATAATGTAAGATTTTTCTAATTCTACTTTTGCTCTGATTTTAAGAATATATGAGCAATAAAATATCTAGGGAGGGAAGGAGAGTAGGCTCTTGCCCCATTGATCTGAGGGGAGGGGGAGGTCACCTCTGATCGGTATATCTAAGAATTTAAAAAAGATATATAAACTTGATGCTCAATCTCAAATCAGACAGTATTTTCATAAAAAGCGCTCCATCCCCAATAGAACAGAGTGGATTCTAAGAATTATTAGATATCCAAAAAGTTACATAAATTGATATATAATTGCGCAATTCTCAAAAAGACTTGCTAAAATAAATTATAAATTCAATTATGATAAAAATTGTCAATAAAAATTTTATTTCTAAAAGTATTTTGTTTTGAACAAAAGGCCTTGAAGGACAACTCAACCATTATTTTATATATTTTTTGTTCTTTTTTCTTGAGAGTATTAAAAAAATTAATAATTAACAAATAAGTAAATACATAATTCGGTAATAAATTGTTAATAAGGATGGACAATGAAGAGAATACTTTTTTTTTTTGTTTTTTTTATATAAATGCATGAAAAGGGATTATGTGGTGGGGGCAATACAGTGATAGTGAACCACGCGTAATCCGCGCAGAAACTCATGTGAACTAGTACCCAAATATTTAATTCCATTTTAAATATATTACAACAGTTAATATTAGTATTACTAGCTGAAAGAACCCTTTGAGAATATAAGACACGTTTGAATGGTTTAAATAAATATATACAAACATTCTATGTAATCTGAACTAATGAAAATACAATGAGACATAACGAAGATATTCTCTCTGCAACACTTATGGAGACAGCCCTGATGAAGGCCTGAACTTCAGGTCGAAACGTCGGCATATGTAAAAATAAATATTATCATTTATTTTTGCCTTCTTTTTTGACTGACCACCCCAACTATTCTTCTCTTCATTATCCACGACAGTCAACCATTTATCAATTAATGAGACATAACGTTTGCTATCACAATCAAATATGGATCAATAAAAGAAAAATGTTTTTCTATTTGGAGGGCTTTACGCCGAAAGTGGATCCGCCATTTTTTTTTCAACTAAACAAAAATATTTTCAAATAACTTTCTTAATGAATACTCTTATTTATTAAAAAAAAAGTATTAAATTATCTATGTTACAATGTATTATGTTATGTTAATTATAATTCGTAATATTTGTAAGTAATATAAATCCCTGGGCCTTGGTATTTACACTTGTAAAAGTGAATACGGCAGTATTCACGTTTATTAAAATGAATACGCTTAAATTTACAGACTTGTAGTCTGGATGATAGGGATTTTGATTTTCAATTTTTTTTAATGATAGTACTGACTCTTTAAGAAATTCCAATGTTCTCAACTCCTCAGATTTTTTATTGGGGGGAGAATACAATACTCTATATAAAAATAAAATGGCTGTATATAGTAAATATTTAAAAAATAAATAAATATATATTTTTTTATTAAATAAGAGTATTAATTAATAAGGTTGTGTGAACATATTTGCATTCACTTCTGTAAATCTAAGCGTATTCATTTTAATAAACGTAAATACTGCCGTATTCACTATTATAAGTCTAAATACAAAGGCTCGAGAATTTTTATTACATACAAACATTACCTGTGATAATTAACATAACCTATTCTAAAAGGCAGAATATAATACTCTATATAAAAATAAAATGATATATATACAAAATATATATTTTGTTAATAAATATTTTTTAAAAATAAATAAGTGAAAATATTTCCATTCACTTCAGTTAATTTAAGCGTATTCATTTCAATAAACGTGAATACTTCTATATTCACTGTTACAATCGTGAATACGGCCGTATTTATATTTACAGCCGCGAATACTTATCTTATTTATTCATATTTCTTTTTATGAATATAAGTATATTCATATTTATATTCCTAAGCACCAAAAATATAAATGGTATTCGTATTTATATTTTTAAATCTCTGCTACTAAGGCACAACTTCCGGTAACGCATTATTAATGGAAAATCTCAATTTTGAGCATTTTTAACTTGTATTTATTACAACTTAACTTGTACCAGTCCTGCTAATTATATTATGTAAAATTGCAACAAAAACGCTACAAAATAATGTTTCATTACTTTATTTCCGCTTTAACATGAAAAATAAATAATAATACCGGAAGCTGTTATAAAAATAATATTTCCAATACAATTATACCTTCATTTCTGTCTATAACTTACAAAAAATTCCAAAAGTCCTTATTAGGATGACCATTTTTTTATTTTATGCAAGAAATTTGGGGAAAGAGGATTATTTACTAACTAAAAACAACTATCAACCTTGAAGCGGAATAAACTAGAAAAATTATGAACTAAAAAATATGAAACCATCTACTCAACGTGAGTATGTTAATTTTAAGCGCAATGTTGATTGATAAAAAATATTTTAATCAACATCGAACAGCTCAATAAGATAGGCTATTACTCAAAGAAACATTGCAGTACAAGTTTCGAACATGGGTTTGATTTTATCTTTTTAAATAAAATTGCAAATGACTGGCATTTAATGAAAATTAAAAAAAACGGTGAAATTGGAATTCAGATTTATCTTTGTGCTCTACTTTCTTTAAGGCATAATTTTTATTTTAGCTGATCTTTGTTTGGGTTTGACGCCCTTGTGAATTCATTAGCCGCTTTAAATGGGATCACCAACAGATTATTCTAGTTTTGGCAAGTATTCCTGTCTTTCATTATAACAAGGAAAATAGAACGTCATATGACTCCTAGATATGAAAGAGCTACTTAAGTGTTATTATACACAACGTATTGCAACCGAGCAACGGGGGTTTTCGAATATAGTGAAATTATTTATTAAAAAATACCAGTTCTTTAATTTTCTTGAACTATTTATATGTAATTTTGCGACGGAGTAATAGCTTTGAGATTTAATTAAACGCATAATTGATCCTAATAATGGTTTTGTAATGATTGATAATAAAATAATAAATTGTAGTAGAGTAGAGCTGAAAAGGAGGTAGGGATAGCCACAACGTATTCGTGGGTGGAAGGCAGGTAACAGGTAATCCCCTCCCCTGGTCATTGCTTCCCCTCCGCCCCCTACCGAGCCTCGTTCAGTTCAAAGATGGTACTCGCTACGGTGGAGGCTCAGTGATTCTCTAGTCTGCAAAATGGCAATTGGTCAAATATCATTTAACGTATTGAAAATAACCTTTTTTAAACAGCATGTTGTTTTTTAGCCACTGGCATATCATTTGTTTTTGACCGTTACAAGTAACTTTTTTTGTCATGGATTCTAAAGAAAAAAGAGTTTACAAGATCGTACTCACTGGAGGTGAGTTTTGACGTACACGTGACTATAGTATCCTATTGAATAAGTCTCCTTAGACATTTAAATAATCAGTTATACAAATTTAATTTATCTTTCTTAATTTTGCTCCAGTGATATTCATTTTTAATATGTATTTTTTCATACATTTTGTAGGCCCATGCGGTGGAAAAACAACAGGCCAAGCACGTCTAAGTACATTTTTTGAAAATTTAGGATGGAAGGTAAATAAATCCATATTGATATTCTCTGATAATTATGTAGTGAGTACCCGAAAGGTGAATTTATCAGTAATATACAATTTATTAAAGTTTATTTAAGATTTACCCATTTTGTGTATTATTTTATTTGTTTTGATAAGAATAAGCCACTATGTGGCTTTGAATACGTTATGGTATGCTCCCTGTCTTTTACAGGTTTTCCGAGTTCCGGAAACAGCAACTGTTTTACTCAGGTATAGAAATTATACCAATATTATCAAAAATACAGTTTAGTTTGTAATAAGATCTTATTTATCTTTAATTGTTAATTTATACTTTTAACTTACGATTTGAAGATTCCTAAAATTTTTGTATATTTTCAGTGGAGGGATAAAGTTTTCAGACCTCAATGCAGATCAAGGTGAGTTATGTAATATTCATTACTTCTTATACACTTCTAAATTGTAGTATTTGATGACTTTTTCCTACAGTGTGGTAGATATTTTTCCAAACCGATTAGAGACCTGTATGTTTTTCCATTTATCGAAAGGTATTTTTATTTTCTATGCCTCTTGTTCCCCGCTAAGTTACATATATGCTGAGTGACCGACATATTAATTTCAAATAATTTCGGGGTTAATGCATGTGGTTTCCTTATGTTCCTCATTTTGTTAATATATTAGCGACAGCTATTAGTAGAAGTAGTTGTTTATTTTTATTTATTTTAACCTATGCCCAAGGCAGTTTGCCAGTTCCTTAGTAATTTCAGAATGAGGACCAACAGAAGTTAATAATGTAATCTCAAGAATAAATATTTTATTTTGTCTATTCTTTTATGATGGCTTCAAATAATTTTTTATGTCAGTTATAAGCAGTGAAACCTTGTAGTAGTTTTTTTCCTCTATCCAATTAAACACTTTTGTATGGCCTCTTGACATCCATTTGGTTACTTTACTCATCCTATTATCTATCCTTAAAACAGGGATAAATAGTTGATTTGTTGGTTCGCTTTTATTTATTGTTTAATATCCCTAATGTTTATTACTTTACCTAAAAAAGGAGATTTTCCTGCCCAGTATTTTTACTGAAAGAATTAATTTATATAGTTTTATCATAAATATTTAACTAGATATGACTCAGTTATAACAAGTCGGGTAACTATTTTGTATTTTTTTTTTTTTTTCAAATTTAAAGCATGTATGATATTAGGAGATGACACGCACACTTGTGCACGATGTGTTGGAGTAAGGACAAAGGAACTAACATCATTCTCAGAGGGTGAGTTATTAGTCGCCCAATAGCTCTACCTTGTTCATTCTCCCAGGGAAATGTCATCAAGTTTTTTATTAATTTTTTCAAAACGTTTTTTTGGTTTTGTTTTTGTTATCTTTTATCTAATTTGGTATGCCTGTATTTTTTATTTAACTTAATTAAGCTTTGTCTTTAAGGTAATTATTTACATTTTTGAAAAAGTAGTGTTTATAAATTATGTTTCAAAGAATAAACCTTTTTTTTTTTTTAATTTATTTTTCCTTCCATAGTAACTCTATGGGAGAGTAATGTATTTCTAAATTTAATCCCTAGTATTTTAGTAAGTCATATAGTAAAAGTATCCTTGCAATAGAGTAATTGTAATTTATTTATTTCAAATGTGCTGTTAATTCAGAGTACATTTTATTTATATTTTTTAAATAGTTACTTTGGTCCTTTTACTTCATTAAAATTCTTCAACGAACATGAGAATTTTATTTAGTTTTCACAATGAAAAAAATTAATGTTTGTATGTATGTATATATGTATATATATATATATATATATATATATATATATATATAATATATATATATATATATATATATATATATATATATATATATATATATATATATATATATATATATATATATATGTATATATATATATATATATATACACATGTACATATGTATATTTGTATTTTTGATATTTTTTTTCTTTCAGTATATACATATGTACATGCATAGATACCTACACATATACAACTTTTTTTTTTCTATGATGCATTTTCCCTGGGTGTAGTGTCAGCTTGGTTCTTGACTACCTATTCCCTCAAAATGGGATTAGATGTCTCCTTTGTATTGGGGTATTTTAAAAAGATATACCCTTGACTTCTGATTTGGCCCTCATTTAATAGCATTGTGTCACTAACCGACCAAAAATTGTTTGCACCCACAAAGTTTGTTTTTTAATATAATTTACAATTTGATGCTTGCTTGGTTAAGTACTTTTAAAATTGTTTTGTTTTATCTTTTTTTTTTTTTTTTTTTTTATCGGCCTTGTTATGAATTTATGCAATGTGTGCTTGAACATGAACTGAACTAATTAAATGAATACTTTATTATTCATGTCAAGTTGGTATCCTTTATATTATGAGGAAGGGGGGGAGGGTGACAAGTAAGGAGATGTTTGATCAATATTTATAGATCTTTGTTTTATTAAATTATTGAAGATATTAAAGTTGAAGGCATCAAAAATATGATCCTAAAAATTAAGTCATCATCAATATTAAATAAATAATTTTAAAAAATATATAATTGCTCATTTTTTTTTTCTTAAAAAATCTGTTGTCAAGTTTTTAATACATACTGTTTTGTAATAGATAAACCATCTATGCCATATATTCTCTGAGCTGACTCATTATGATTTGATTAAAAATTTAATATCTTGTTTACCAATGTAGTTATAATAAATACAGTTATCAAAATTGTTATAATAAACAAATACATCTTATTTTGTGTGATAGCGAAATTATAATTACCTCCTTCGATTTTATATTATGGAGTGCTGCTTATTTTATTAAAATTAACTCATGAAAATTAATTAATTTTGTCAAAAATTACTGTTAGTGTCAGGTATTTAAATGAGTTATATTTTAAAATTAATTTGACGTCTTTATTGTTCGCATTCACTTGGATAAGATATTCATTAATTCTACTTCCCATTCTGATCAATAGGTGTGTTACATATTTTTAAAAAAATTCAAAATTTAATTTCTGTTAAACTTGCTTTAATAAATAATCTCAATGTATTTTTTTTTCTTTTAAGGAGAGAGATATTTATTGTAGATCATGGATGTATAAAATTTTATTTTTTTAGTTTATCATAGAAATTGTTGAAAAAGCCCTATGGTTTACATGAATATATGTAATGCTATTTGTATTTTGCTTCTTTAAAAACTGATAATTTGCCATTTTCTCTTAAGATATTATAATTATGCAAGAATATGTTGTAAATAAACAAATATGCTAAATCATTAGGGTAAAGTATATTTAATTTGTAGTTAATGCAAGAGAGATAGTTCTATAGGTTGAATTTGGTTTTTAGTTTGTCTGATTTTAACTTTATATATATAATTAATGTCTAATCAATGGTACTAATAAATTTATTTATTTATTATACAGACACTTCTTCTTGTGACAGTAATTTAAAAGTATAAAACATCTACATATTTTAATCTTATACTAATTAAACTGGGAAATAAGCTCATTAATTTTTCAAATATTGTTTCTATTATTATTATTAATAAAATGTTCACAATATTTCTAAATTTCTTTTATTATTATTTTTGCTAATGCCAAAAATGGCATTTTAGATATTCAGTAGTAAATAAAATCAAATGTGTCATATGAACAGTTTCGCTCAACGTATTAAAAATATAAATCTTAATTTTTTTTACTTTGTCTAATATAATACATTTTTTAAATATATTAGATTTTTTAAATATATTAGATGCATATATAATTACGTATGTTCTGTTATGTGAAGCATTTTTAAAAATTTCTTTTTTAATTATTTATTTTATCTAGAAGGGCCGAAACTAGAAGAGCCAATGGGTGGCTTGCTCCAAGGGGTAGAATTTATAAGGCACCAAAAATTATTAATTTTTTTTTGTTAAGTTAAGTAAAAAACATTTATTTCTGCTCTTTGTTTTGTCTTTAATGAAGTCAATAAGATAAGTTAATGTTATGATAGGATGATAATAAGTTTTGAAATATATTTCCTAACTTACCGTTGACTTTAAATGGAGGGGAAGGATAGGACCACAAAAATAAATTTGCTCCTAAAATACACCTATTTATGTATTTTCTTCTTTTCATAATCGATCCTTATTATATTATATTTTGTACTAACAGTAAAAGCCCAAATTTATATAGAAAACTTGATACAAGTTCATTATTTCAAAGTCACACAAGCTTTTTTCTGTCATTTTTCAATTCAATAGAAGGAATCAAGAACTTCACTACCATTTTTGGGGGGACAGTAGGAAGCAAAACTTAAAATCTCCCAATAATTTTAATAACTGGAACAAAATTTTTCAACAATTTCAGTATTTGGAGCATACTTTTACAATTACAATAGTTAAAACTAAATTTCAGAAGAATTGTAATAGTTGAAACAAAATTTCCCAACAATTTTAAGAGTTGGACAAAAGTTTCCTGATTGCAATAGTCAGGATATTATTTCACAATAATTTTAATAGTTGGAACAAAATGTAAACAACAGTTAAACATATTAATGTTTTAATTTACATAACATTAATTTTTTTTTAAAATTAAAATTCAAACATACTATACTATTTAGAACCAAATTTTCAAGCACTGTATTTTAAAAATCACTATGTATTTATTTTTAATGTAAAACTGTTTACTGTGAATGTTAGCACTTCGCAGCAATAATTTTCTCTTCCATTCCAACAAAATTACATCAATAAAATAAATATTTCTTGATTTAAAATTTTAGAAATCTTTTAGTTATACGTTTTACTACAATTCTCACAGTTTGAAGTGAGTTTTAATTATTAACTTTTAAGTTTTAATTATTAAGGAGAGAGATTTGAAATCCTTACCCAACCCAAATGACATTTTTCTACAAAAATTAAGTTTTCTCGCTTCTTTGTTTACCTAATTAAACTGTCATACTTATTGCATATCATATCTGCTCACAGCAAGATAAGGTAGTGTCCAATTACGTACATTCTTATCTCAGATATTCAGTTTCGAATTCCGATTAGCTCAAAAATATTTTAAAAAAGTTGGTTTATCTTATCATTATATACATATAAAACAGCAATATTAAGTTTGCCAGTTGTAGTACTGTCTGATGCATAACAACTTAGAGGTTCTACATTAATTTTTCGTCCCATTTTAATTTCCTTTAATCTTTGCCGACCGATAAAAATTAACACATTCAAATAAAATAAGTTTGGATGACTTAATTAATTTAAAAATGAGTTTTCAACATGTTATGTCGAAAGCCAAAGAACGCTAACCGGCAACCTCAAGAGATAATTTTGGTAAGAAAAGTGAAAACATCGTTATTAGCGGTTATTTTAAGATAAAATTTGAGTTTCAACAACCTATCATTTTCATCAATTACTTCTTTTATTATTTTCTTTATTGTATTAAAATTTCCATTAATGATGTAATTTTTAATAATCAGAGACTTTATTTTATTTACAAAGCATGCTTGTCATTCGAATTTTTTTTGTAGATAATCTCAAGATATATGGTCTCTTGAATCTAAAAAAGTTATTTTTATAAATATTGGCTCCATTTTTTCTGAGGATCCGAAGTGCCCAACATTATTTTTTTTTGTCAAAAAATTGATGGTTTTTCGGCAGCAGCAGTTAGTTAGGCCAGTAATATCCAAAAATTCCAGAAAAAATCTTGGGTAAAAAAAAGATCACAAGAAGTTTTGTCGTTCTATTCGTTTTTGTGTTAATTAAAAGGTAAAATTTTTGGTTGACTTTTTGCTGCGATTCAGAACACGTGAGTCATAATGTTTCGCTAATACCTCAAATTTAATTATTTATCTATTGATTTAGTAAGGTCTAACATCAAAAATATCTTAAATTATTTTAATTATTACTTTAGTTTATTGTTTTCAATAATGAACTGTAAACTACCAAGAACAAATTTTAAATACCCAGACTACAAATAAAAATAAAAATCATTATATGGATCATTTTATCATAAAAACCTGGATCACTACTACCCATGAAGGGTATTGGGTACATCACTATGTGAGGAAGTACCGTTACAAGACCAACGTTTGTGCAAGGAGGTGATGGGGCCGATATCACGCTCAACCGCCAGATTTTCCCCTATAATTATTTTTTTAATTAAGGGTACGCACTTTATAGAGGATTGGTGTGCCCCAGAAAGATCTCCCGACTCCAGGTTCGATCCACTAATGAAAAATAACTATTCATTAGCCGAATTCGAACCTAGAACCTTTAGCTCTGGAAGTCAGTGCTCACCTACTGAGCTATCCCGCCCCCATTCATTTTATTATACTCAAAAATAAATCATTATTATTATATCTAAACCGTACTTTACAGCACCAGTAAATTATTTTTAAATATTGGAATTATAATAGAACTAGGAAAAACACTAAACGAAATACTACAAGATAATGAAGAGAGAGTCTCTATCGTGTTTAAATTTTTAAAGATTGTAAACTACTATTATAGAGTATAAATTATAGAAAACGCCAATGACCCTTTAGGGTAGAGGCGAGAAAAAGGGAGGGGGGGAAATTTATATGAGTTTTCTTAGATTTGGATGACAAAGTTGTCATAAAACATTTGCTTTACATTTTCCTCTACTACAGAACTGAATTCAATAAATATTCATTAGGTAATTCTCACTGAATAAATAATACAACAATGATAAGAAATTCATATAAATTAATAATTTTATGGAAATAAATATTAAAATTGTAACTTGTGTATTTTTATCCAAAAGTTATTAATCATACATTATGTCACTTCAGACAAGTTCCTTAATCCAGTGCTGAATTTCGAAACTATCCCTTTGTTTTTGTATATAATAATTCTTTGTTGTTTTTAAAAATATTAATATTTGTTAGATACTGATTTTAATATATTTATACACAATGAAATAAACCAAGCTTTGGAGTAGCAATTATTTGAGGAATACGTTTTAGTTTTTATTGATAAAATAATTCCTATCTTCAATTTATATCATGTGAGTTACCTTGTATTTGTGCAGAAATGTTTGGAATATCTGTTTGTTTTTTTGCATCAATCTTCATAAAGAATGGTCTTTGTTTTCTTTATATATTTTTTCACTTCTTGTTTGAGCTGACGTTTCTTTATGAATTACTTTGTCAGTTACATTCATTGTTGTCTGAGCTATTTTATTTTTTTTAATTCCCTGGCAATGAAAACCACTATTGTATTAACTCTTAATGCGAAAGGTGTCTATCACTATGAATTCACTAGGCCTCTGTTCATTTTGTTCTAAAAAGTTAATTTGAGAACCGTACCAACACAATTGTTAATTAATATTCAATCTTTATAAATGATGGACATTAATACTCTTAAAAAAAAAAAAAATAGTCATTTTATAGACTTATTGGCAAAAATTTATATGTTGAAACAATTATTCTTTTAAGAAAGTCTCATAGCAGTAGATTCCGTAAAATTTATTGGACATGACTTGTTTTAGATATTAAAGCAATATACCTTTTCAATAATTACTGAATTTGGTTGCTACTATTTAATTATAAATGTGTATTGAAGTACACAGACTTGCATGTACAATGTGTGTGCATTTGCAAATAATTATTTATTTATAAATTTTAAAAGATCAGTTCAGCTAATTTGAATAGTTATTTATGCAATAATGATACATATTTTAATATATAAAAGAATGATATCAATATTTTTTTAACGATTTGATATGAAAGTCTGTAGTTTTAAATCATCTTCACAGTTAAAATTTATAATTTTCTTTTTATAACTCGATGATTATTTTTTTATAATTATATATATATTTTTCTCCTTTCAGCCTACAGATTTCAAGAAAATCTTCTGAGAACTATGCTCCAAATTGAAAATACTTTCTTCGAACTTGCTGAGTCTAGCAATCGAGATTGTCTTATTATTTGTGATCGTGGAGCTATGGATGCCTCTGCTTGTAAGGATATAATAAATTATATTAATTTAGATTTATTATGTTACTCTAATGTCATAATTAATTATTTATTTAATGGAGATCATTTAAAAGCAATTTGCTGGTATATTTTTTTTTTGTTAGAAGCTCCAAATTCTAGTAAAAATTAGATGTTTTCGAATATTGATGTATATCCTATATTTTGGGAAGTATTCACTTCGGAGCATGGGACTGATTTTTCTGGTTTAGAATATTCAATTATTTTGTTGCAAATAAATTTTGTCATTAATAGAATAACAGCATTCAGCTGCTTATCAAAAAAATAAAAATATCTATTAAAGAGCTTTAATTACATTACAACTAATATCTGTTTCAAGTATAAATAAATCAATTAATGAATATTAATACCATTTGTTATTTTAATTTTAAAAATATGTATTTGAATATTTTAGAACTACAATTATTGCTGTTTTTAGCTCTATAAAACATGATAACCATATTTATAACTCATGCATTAAAAATATTGACAGTACTTCAGTATCATTTACTTCCATTTTAAGTTTGTTTTTTTTTCTATCTGTGAACCATTAATTCAACACCGAGTAAAAATTGATAAAAATGCAATTTACCCATTGAATTTGTTACATTTTTATCATGACACTTCAATATTATGTTGTTGCTGTCTTATTTTTCCTATACTTTATATTAATATTAATACCTTGATATGCTTAATTTATATTTGTTTCATTTTTGTTATTAAATTGTAAACCCTAGTTATTTATAACAATGAGAACATAAACTCGAGGTTTACTCATTAGTTATTTACTGCTTTGGAAGGCTTTGTTTTGAAATCCCCCAAATTATAACATATTAATTACGATTATTAAAAAAATACAATTTAATTCAAGTAGATTCTAAATTTCTTATGATTATGACAGCTCCATCATTATACAGCTTTGATTGTGATAGAACTAATTTGTAGTTATCAAAGTCAATTTTTTAATCAGTTAAAGTAAACTGATAATAGGAACATTGATCAAATTACTTTGTATGGTTTTGTTTTCTGATAGTAATGTTTCACCTAAGTTTTATTTTTACTTTGTTCTCTTAATGCCAAAGAGCAAGGTAAGGTCACTAGTCCATAATTAATTGTTTATAAGTAGTGCTTAACATATAGATTATGATTCACTCTTTCGTCATTGTTGGCAATGGTTATTGATTTTTATTTATTCCATGATAATCTAATTTGCCAACTGTTTATTAAAGGAGTTCCATTTCATTTTATTTATTCATATGTACTGAGAGAAGTATATTGTTTTTGTTTTTAATGATAATTACCATAGTGTATATTTTAGGTTTAGAGATTATTAGAATTTTTGATTTTTTAAAATATATTTTGTATATTTCAGTTATATCTAAAGAACAATGGGAAAAAATGATGTCCAGCAATGGTTGGAATAATGTGGAACTCAGAGACAATCGGTATAACCAAATTGTGCATATGGTTACTGCAGCTAATGGAGCAGAAGATTTTTATACAACAGAGGTTCATTTTTATTTTTATTTATTGAGAAGTTAAATAAAGAAATTATACATTATATTGTATTTGACAGATCCATTAAATTTCTGCTTTGTTTGTATGTCTTGCTTAGTAGAGAATTTATGAATTATGCAAAAAAAAAAAAAAACTATACCACTGCAATCCTAAGGGTCTTGGGTTCAGTACTATTTAGGAAAAGTACTGTTTCTTAGTTGAAGGTTGTGCAAGGAGGTGATTTGACTGAGATCAACACTCCTGAATTGACCATACTTGTGTTATTAAATTATGTTAACAAAACTTATTAAGATCTAAATAGAAAACACCTGAACAAATGAAGTGGACTATTATTATTCAGGCCACTTGACATATGCTCTAAATTGTCTTTAACTATCAAACTTATCATCTGTAAAATAATTATAAAAACTTTATTGTTGGTCTATGGGTTAGAGTTATGGGGCATTGCCATTCTTTTGTATTATTGTCTATAACCATGGATATTTTGGAAATAATGAGTTGTTCACAGAATATTTAAAGAAAAAGAAACTCCAGGATTTTATGTTCCTAATTTTTTTTTTTAATTAATCAGTTTAAAATTAAATCACTTTTATACTTTTCTGTTTTTGTCCTCCCCTTCCTTGCCTTTTAGGCTATACGGGATTTTCCCGGGCCGGGGGTTGAGGGCGGAGAGAATTTAAAATCTCGTCTGGCACCGGGACGCGAACTTGTACTTTTTAATATCTCATAATTCGGTTATCTGGTTGCTAGGCAACTCACGGTGCTGTACACACGTTAGCCCATTTGGCCATCCCGTCTCCAATAAATTTCATACTTTTTTTTTTGTTCTCTCCTACCTCGCTCATCCTATCTATATAGAAAATCCAATACTTTTCAGTTGACAATAAAATGGCAGCTTTTACACTGCAAAAAACTTTAAAATACTTAATCAAAACTAATATGGACAGAAAACTAGAACGATGTATTTAATATTAGCTGCATAAATATAAATTTATAAATGTATTTCTATAAAGAGGTTCTGTATCACAAATAAGTTGAAATTAAATCAATTTATATTAGTTCTTTTATTTTAATAATTATTATGTTTTATTATAGGACCATGCTTGTCGCAGCGAGGGTATGGAACTTGCGAGAGAACTTGATTATAACGCAGCCTCGGCATGGGTTGGACATCCTTATTTTGATGTGATTGACAATTCAACAGAGTTTGAAAAGAAAATCCGTCGAATGATAGCTGTAATAATATCTTTTTATTAATATCTCTAATAATATAATACTTGAATCTGACAAAATTTTGTTGTTTTTTTTGTTTCCTTTAGAGTATCTGCCAGAAGATGGGTATAGATACTGGTGATAGATTGCTCACCAACGCCAGGAAGAGGAAGTTCTTGGTTCAAGGTCCCCTTCCTTCAGATGATATTTTTCCTCCATTCCAAGACTTTGAGGTGGTTCACAACTACCTCACGAGTAACCACCCGTACATGCAGGCTAGGCTGAGGAAGCGAGGCCAGAAAGGTGAGTTGTCGTCGCTCATATGTTCTGTAAAATTTTCAACTTAAAATATTAACATTATTTAATCATGCTTTTAAAAAGTGTTCAATGTTACTGAGCTATTCATGATGTGATTAACTAAATCCGTATTGCTACTAATACTAACACCAAAATGTGTGCATTCAATGCCACAGCTTTTCGAAATGAAAAATACTTTTTTTAGGAAATTTAACAACTCATACCATGTCCTATATGTGTACATTTACACTGAAAGTTTTCAAATATCTGTATCATATCAAATTCTTGTGAAAATTATTACTGCATTTTTTTTCTCACTAACTCCCAATTATTGCTTGGTTAATAATAATAAAAGAGGGTACTCTTAATTAATTAATTAAGAGGAAAACGAAAACCCTGGCCATAATTTCTAATATTTTAACAATGATCTTAATTTAATTACTATTAGATTAAGGTCTTCTAAAGAGGGCTTAGCATTCTTTGAAAATTTGACTAAACATTCTGTCAATAAGAAATTAATTATCCATCCAATACAATTTCTTTTTAAATTGGTTTGTATTGTAGACTCTGGAATAAAAAATAATAATTAAGAGGAGGATTGTAGTGCCACTGTGGTATAATATAGTCTTCATGCACAATATTACACAAGAGGCAACTTTAAGTGTAAAAATTCCCATAAAAGGAAGTAGTAGAATATTAAAAGAAAAATCTAAGAAGTATTTTATTTTTTATAGTTATCTTCAGAAAAAAGTAGGTACAAAATAATTAAGATGAGTAAAATAAAATTGAAGAAGGTAGTATAGAAAGTTAATCCCTCCGTGGGTCTACCACATCTATATCAGCTGAATCAATGGAATTTTTCCATACTTATTAATCCTATGCTCTGGGTTCTAATGCACAATATTAGCTCTATACAGCACTTTTTCCTATACTTTGTAATTATAAAATTCATGAAAATGCTTGGTTATGTTTTAAATTATTACTTCCATTATTTAATATCTAATTAAATTTATTACTATTTAAAAATATAGTCTGGAATGATATTTTTTTTCAAAAGTAATGTACTTATCAGAGCTTTATTAATAATTACTAAGTTTTAAAATAAAACTGGTTGTTCTTTTTTAGTATTATAGATTGCATATTATGTTGGTATGAAAAGTATTCTTGATTTTACCATAAGGACTCGCGCGACGTTTTGATGTGTTCCGCCCCATTATGCGCAATAGTTATGTCAGATATAAGTTATCATAATATCTTATTAATATAATACATATAAATATCGATTGATTTATGTAATTTATATTTATCTAATATTTGAAAATGGTTAAAGAAATAAAATAAATGAATATATCATTCATTTTCCTTTGATATTTTTAAGGTCATTGGAGTTATACACATACCATCCGTAAACCGAGAATTCATGGCCAGATTGTTGAAGTTAAGACCCAACTCACTCACAGAGATTATGTGAATCTTCTCAACCAAAAAGACAACTCTCATTTCACAATTTATAAAAAAAGACGTTGTTTTTTGGACAATAATCAGTATTTCCAATTGGATATATACAAAACACCATGTCATCCGAGGTATGATTTATAATTATTTATTATAAAAATAAAACTAAGTTAATCAATTTGGTCTGTATATATTTAGTGTAATATGGATGATTCTCAATTGTTGATTAGAATTCTCTAAATCCAAATGAAATATTTATTTTTTCAAATATGGTAATTACATCAATACATATACAATACATCAAATCAGAATAAAATTTTATTTTACTTTAAATGATTATCATGAGTTACTTCTTTATTTAAATATCTGATCAGTTACTCAACAAGACATTGAGTCCTCATTTTGGATCAAAATTTAAATTTAGGATCATCTAATCTATTTAAGTTTAAATTGACCTTTTTTCAATACAGATGCAATGGACTTGTTCTTTTGGAAACATATTCAGCTTTGGAAGATGGGCATTTGGAGGAAGCACTGCCTAAGTTTTTAACGATCAGCTGTGAAGTTACAGGAGACCCACAATACTCCATGTACAACTTATCTCTCCGGGCAGATTGGAATTCTGCGGAAAGTAAATTCTGTCATTCACTTAAAGGTACCAAACTTTAAAAAAAAAATCATATCTTGGGTATGGTAAATGTCTGAATAATAAGGTCTTAGATGCTGCTAATATTTAAAACAAAAATAATCTATCGCTTAATTAGATTTTAAGATCAGTTATTCCAGCAGTAATAGGTAGTAGACATCACAGTCATTCCATGGGGAATCATTTTTTTTTTTTTTTTTTTACCGCACTTACTATATTTATAGAAGGCAGTATAATCGAGTCCTTGCATAGATTTTCAATTTTTATATTAGATTAAAATGAGTGAATAGCATATTAAGAATAAATTTCTATGATACATATTTGCTAAGACAAATTTTTAATAAGAAAACTGAAGAGTTTGAAGTGAGCACTGAGCTCAATCCTGTATTAGTTAGCTGCTTCAAAATTTCCATTCAAGAAATATCTTTCAGTTTTTTTTTTTTTTTACTCTGTTAACTTTGAATAAGAATATTTAGTTCAAAATGTGTTTTAGTAGTTTTTATAATTAAACAAAATAAAAGCTACCTCTAAAAAATAAAATAAAAATAAAATGAGTCCAACCCAGCAGTACTAGTCACACTGAAATCCAATCCCCGTGTTTTCTTGTTCGAACTTTATTTACTCAAATTTCTTTAGAGGAAATATTCCTTAACGGTTTCATGAATGCAACTTTTATTTTAGGATCTCTTAACAAGTGACTAATTGTAGTATTTGCTACCATTTTATGGCATGATACATGTTTTGATCCTTACTAAATTTCAAATTTTTTACAGTTTTATGTGTTAACTCTACATATATCTAACTTGGAAGTTCCTTGCAAATAAAATTCAATGTGTAACAGAATAACACATAAATATTTTTCTTATTTTTGGTTAATGATGTTTTTAAATCTTTTATATATATATACTGGTTTCATTTCAAGATATTTCAGTAGTTAATACTGTTTTGTAAAATTGTAACATCTTATTTTCATGATATTAACTGTGCAGAAATTCTATCATGAGAAAGTTTTAGAAAAGTTTTTCCATTGTTATGAAATAGGTTTATTTTTAACTTTAGTAAAACATTTATTACCATTTTTATTACATCTATTAATTTTATTTTTTATTGCCAGTTCCAGATTCTGAAAGTATGAATGGAGGAATTCCCAACATGAATGGTGGAATCCCCAACATGAACGGCGGAATCCCCAACATGAATGGCATCAGCTTGACATCTGAAAATCATGTGAAATAATTGCCGTTTCGTATCAGTTTTATAGGTATTGAAAATCTAGACAATTCAAAGCACCGAAATATAGTAATACTGTATCCCAAGTAGTTTTTTGAACCGTGGAAATGTATTGTTCTCTACGTCAATAGAACATAATATGTTCTATTGATTGTCATTTGTTTTGATTTGAGTATTTAATCTACTTAAAAATTTCATTGATAAGGGGAGAATTTAGTAATATATTTGTAATTTTTGTTCAATATTTCGCTATTTCCACACGTACTACTAGTCTTACTATGCTGTTTGATCTCCCTTTGAATATTCATACCTTGTTTTGTTAGTATTACTTCATCAGCTAGATTAGTTTTAATATTTATTATTAATAAATTCTAATCTTACTAGAGCATGAATGTTGTTCCTCTGTAACCTAGCAGTGGTGAATTATTGATGTGGAAATTGTTAAAAGTTTTTAAATTTGTATGTTCCTTCTTTATTTAAGTATATTTATATGGTGCTAAACTTGTCCTTTCTGTTCTCAATTTTGGAATGAAATGGTAATAATTATTATCATACCTTCATCAATTCATTACTTAAGTACCTTTGAATTATCTTTTTTTTTTGTATTAATTTTAGACTGATAGATAATTTTTTATAAGTATGGTATCAGTACCATAATATGAATTACAATTACAAATACTGATACTTACGATATGATGAACCTCTATATATCTAACTTCGAGATTTGTTGACAGATATTTCACACATTAAAAAATATTGCAGTTCAAGATATGGGGTTAAAGAAAAAATTAAATTAAATATTTATTTTTGAAATACGCAGACTTTTAATGTTAATGAATATTGATGTGTAATGTGCGATTAATTTATAAATGTAGAAGTTAACTTACTGTTTAGCAATGTATGGTATATCTTTTGTTACCATTTTATGGTCATCATTTTAATGTTTAATTTGATTAAACATATCCGGGAGCATTATAAATAAATATTAAGTAATAAATATGTTATACAGAGGTTCACCTGCATATCAGTAATGTGTCTCAGTTAGTTACCCTGGTTTATGTAAAAAGTTAGTGAGTTAAGTAATTGGTACTTAAATGGCTAAGAAGTTTATTTCTGTTGGTGTTTCTTTTATGTATTGTTTGTAAGAAATGTGATATTAAAGATAGTGTTGAAAAAAATTGTGATTGGTTCTAAATTTTGTGATTTAAGTTTCATATCTAAGAGTAAGAATATTAATTGTATTATGATCTTCATGAAATTTTGATCGAAATGAAAATGAAATTAAAGTTTGTTACACTCTTCCTATTGTTATTAGACTGCGGTAAACAGAATGTCTCTTGTAGATGACTATTTCTTACTTAAAAATTTTTAATCTACTTAATTTATTTTAATGTTTCCAAGTTATTCAATAACAATAAAAATGTATTTTATATTAAAATAAAATTTTAAGATGCATTTGAGAGAAGTACCTTAAAAGGGTTATCCTAGTTTATAAATTAATTTAACAATTGAATAAGAAATCTGTTGTTTAATGGGTGCCTTTAAATAATTGTTGATTAAACTAACAAATCAAAATCTTACAAGTGCGTATCTATCTAGTCAGTCAGAACTTTTATTTTAATATCACATCTGCATAAAATGAACGTTTCCAAAATATCTACCATTTATTAATTTAAAATGCATCACAAAATTGAATTAAAGTTGTACCACTGCTAGGTTGATTAGAGTTAATTATGAACCTAGAATAGAATGCTGCTTTCTTATATACTTCATTTCCAGATATTGTTTTTTCTTTTTTTATTTAAAAAAGACCAAGGAAGTATTTTTTGGGACTTAGTGAAAAAAAAGTATGTCAAATGTGTTGTGTGCCTTTTTAATGTTATTAACATATATATTTTTCTGTCAAAGGAATACTCATGAAATCAATTATTTTTTGAATTTCACGAATGTATTACATTTTAAAAGTGATCTGTAACTGGTTAGTTAAATAAAATGTATTATCTTAAAGAAAATTTGATAAATTCATTGCATTTATAAGAAGTAATGTCATTGTACTTAAATTTTTCATATGTATTATTTTTGTACACATAACTGTGAATGAGTGGTTGTCTACTGTCGATGGCATTATGTATACTATGTTATGTTTGATGTACTTATAGATGATTCTTAACTTTATTCTAGTTTTTTTTTCTTTTTCAAAATCCTTGCAAACATTTTTAACACCTTTTAATTACCAATCCTGTCTTCTTCCACCGCTTAGATCAGTTTAGGATTCATGTACTAGATGTTAACTAGGTCTACTCATATGTATTCTCAGTTTTTCCATACATTATAAAAAAGTCATTTAATATTAAGTCATCCAGATACATTGAATAAAGAATAGTAAAATATGATTATGAAACTACGATAAGAAAAATTAATATTTAACTTGTAGGTAATGGAAAGTAACATAAATTAATGTCAGATCATTTCTTTTAGAAAATGATAAAATAATCCAGGAATTGCATTGGCAAAGTTAATTAGAGAACCTATAGCAGTTAGATAACCAACCATATAAAAAAAAATTGAATTTCACTACAAAATAAACAAATTAATTCTGCATATTTAGAGAAAATTGTTTTATTCAAAATACAAGCAGTCTATAAAAAACAGAAGATACTAAACTAGTAACATGAATCTGATATATATAATAGGAACAATAATTATTACTAATAATTTTTATAAATTTCACTGACCAATGATAAAACAAGTAATTACACCAAACAAATTATTGAAAATAACATCTAAAATAAACTTATTTAATGAAAATTACATCACATGACAACTATAAACAAAGAAAAGGTATATTAAATCCCTTCTGATTGACAAATTATATAACAGTTTTTAATAAAAATAAGTATACTTTCATAATTCAAGTAACAATGAAAATGAATTCTGGTCAGCAAGAAACAATTTTTTTTTCTGTTTAAATAAAAGGTACATGGACTTTTTACTCTACTCAAGAATAAGTCAAATATGAAAGAACAATCCCAACAGATTTACAAAGTATGTACACCCAGTACATTAAAAAATAAATTGTACAAGTTGATACAACAAAAATCTGTTTTTCCCCTCACTAAAATAGATAGTAAGGAAATAAACAGAAACAGGTGCCTTCAAATTTATACTTTTACTATAATTTTCTAAGAAGAAAATTAACTAGGTGAAAAACAAAATGATAACGGAAAAAAATACATATGAAACACTTGTTTGATATTTATTTTACCGTTAACAAATACCATTTTAAAAAACAGCTAATAGAAATGCCAGAGAAATGAGAAAATGTAATATCACTCTATTTGAGACCAGATTCAAATAATTTCAAACGCTTAACAGTAATTAATATTAAAAAATATTTCTTTGGTTTTTAAATTGAATAAGAAAATTCATTCTTCTGCATCTTCAGTCTCATCAGCAGCAGGTTGTTCATTAATAACTTCCTAAAACAAAATATATAATTAACTTTATTTGGTAAAAAATAATCATATCTTATCAATAATTTCAACTGCAACATTCTATATCATAGAAACAAAAAAGATTCTTATTAAACTGTATGATTTTTCTTAAACTAGGGCTATACTTAATATTTAATACGAGTGTTTTTAAGAAATCTTTTACTAATACAACTAACACTCATCTTCTATCTCCAAATATAAAATAAGATAATTGAAGAAAAGATTGGTTGGTGTTCAGGAAAAAAAAAAAAATATTTATTTTTGTTTTTGCCAACATTTCGGCCCAAAGTATAGCCCTTCACCAGGGCTAAGAAAAAAACAGATAACAATGGGTATGAGAACCTATTAACATCAAAAAGAAAATAATGATGTGTAGGTGAAACCTATAGTCTAAAAAATGTAGGTAGAATAATATGACTTTGATATCGTTATATTATAATTACTTTAAGTTTATTCTAATTACATTTTTTACACTATACCTTTCACCTACATATTATTTTTTTTAAGGTCAATTGTTTTTCATACCAATTGTTATCTGGTTTTTTTCTTAGCCCTGAAGAAGGCCTTAACTTTAGGCCGAAACATCGGTAATAATAAATATAATGACTGAACACCCTAACCACTCTTCTCTTCAATTCTTTACTACAGTCAACCATCTATCCACAATTATAAAATAAGATATTTATTTTTTTCATTAGACATTACCGTTAATGTTTCAACTAGATGTCTAGTTTCATCCAACAACAGTTTACATTGAGCATTTTCTTCTTCCAACAAAGCGATTCTTTGATGCAATTCTTCATTTTCTTTTAGAGCAGCATCAAGAGCAACACGTCTACGTTCAGCTAAGATTTCCCAATAGCCCTCACTTGGTCCATCTAAATAAAAATATGTTATAACTGAATGTTATTAAAGAAGTTTTCATAAGTGATGATCGAATGAAAACATCCTCTGTAAAACTACAAATTTTATTCACCAAATAGTTTCAACTGGGTTCTTTCATCACACATTTAAAATGAGATTTTAATAATATATAACATAAAACTTGGTTACTAAGCTTTTAATTCTAGTAAACACAATGGACAACATTGTGTTTACTATTCAATAAGCATAATTTACTATCAACATTAGCATCTTGATAATTATGCTTAAATTTTAAGTTAGTCAGTGGATGAGGTCACCAACTCTATAATGTTTCATCTTGATAATGTTTAAAATTTAAGTTAGTCAGTGGATGAGGTCACCAATCACATACTATGTTGGTATTTATTATACATATAATATTATACTCATTAATTGTTGATAAGTTAATAAAGAATAAGTAAATTCTACACAAGCCCTCAGATTAGAAATATTTGATAATATCTTTCAACTATTCATCATACCTTCTGATGTTAAATCTTCTTCAGTTATAACTGGTTTTTGGCTATTTGGTTTAATTGTTTTCGTTCTTTTAACAACTTTGGAATCAGCTACCCTGAAAAATCAAAAGAAATCCACACGTATTATCAATTAAAAATAAAAGTAAAACAAAACTAAACCACAGGGTAACCCAGTTAACTTAATAGAAAAAAAAAGTTTATTTATTAATCCAAGATAAGACAAAGAATCAGAGATGAATTAGGTCATGTAAATGCCTCGAAGCAATGCAAATCTTAGGATCCATCTCATAAGGTATTGTCCAATTTAGAATTCAAAAACAACAAAATAATCACAAAAAACTGCGGATTTAGATTATGTTGATGTTAATTTGGAATTTGTTTTGAAATTATATAGAAGTATTGCTGAATAACTTGGTATCAGGACAGTCATCAGTGAAATAGAATTATGCATGTAGAGGATTAACTCAAATATTTAAAAAGAAAATTAAAACCACTTTTACTTGTTTAGATAAAAGAACAAAGGTCCCTAATCGTTAATAAATAATCAGACTAAAAGAAAAAAGTTATAATATAGTTGAAAAATAATGAGTACTACGCCTGGTTGACTATTGAGATCACACTGTATATGGAATCATGCGTAAGTGGTGTATACAAACCACCAACAGGTGCTTTTTCAGGGGAGGTAGGGATATTCAAATGTCTCTCTATAATAGGTAGGCCATGATCAGATTAATTAAGACAAGCGTAATCACAAGTTTAACTTAATGAATTATTCTTACTCAAAACAGGAAACAAACATTCAGGGTCATTTGCAGTTGAATGTGGAGCTGTAATTAAACTATGATTTTTGTCTGCTTACTCAAAAGGGTTAGTACCAGCAGGTCCTTTATAAATGAGGCTGGGGACTAAGCAAGGGGGTGGTCACCGCCATCTGCTCTAGGATACAACCACTTTTGAAATTCAATTTACAATGTGATCAATGCGATTTTGAGACAACTACCAATTTGAAAGGTGACTTGTTAAGGACTGAGGTGTCCTTCCTAAATGTCAGTCCCTTGTACTTTTACACACTCGACTAGTTAGACTACAACCAATATTTCTTTAATAAGAATATTAAATCTCATCACCAACTAAAAATGAGGCAGTATAACAATATAAAATTTAATAGGCGCTTGTATAAATAGTCAAACGGTAACTATGTATACTTCATAAAGATAAAACATAAAACATTAGAAATGCTTACACTATAGTTACTTCTTTCACTTCTTTACCAGGCATTTGCTTGGCAGACAAGCCAGCACCAACTAAATTTTCTTTATCACCTGCAGCCTTCTGTAAAGGCCTAAGAGTTCTTCTTTGGCCTTTTACAATTTTCTAAAGAAACAAGTTAATTTAAAGATTAAACAATCAATGATCTACCATTAAAGTGAATAATGTTCTGACACAAAGATGACAGAAAGATTTTATGAAAATAACTGCTTACTTTTTCAGATGAAACGTTTTCAGCTTCCAGGTTTTTGATGGCTTTTTCAGTCTTCATTTCGAAATAAAAGATATCGTAGAGAAAATAAATAACCCTTAGGCAAGACAGAATTAACTTACATCTGACAAGGAATAAACAATACCGGCTAACGTATTGTTTGTGTGTTTTCCCGCCATTACTATCGATAATGACAGTACAGTGTACAGTACACATATTGTTATTTTGAGAAATAATCGAAGCATCGCCCTCATAAATTAATAAAAAGTGTTTTATAACATTTAAAAAATCCAATAATAAATAAACAGTTACTTAAATGTTATTAAACTTCTAATGAAATAAATCAATTTTCCACTGTGTATCAGCTGTCAGCTGTTTCTTGTGATAAATGTGTATATACGCGATGTTTTGATAAAGTCAGAATTACTGTGAGGTAACTGTCAAAAGTACGATGAAAACTCGTTTTATCCTCGATTGTAGTTCAAATGTTTAATTTAAAAGTTTCATCAATGGGTTCTTTAATAACCCACAAATATTTCTTTCATATTTGGAGTATTTGTTAAGTATTCATTTCTTTTACGAAAATGCCCCCAATGAGAAGTAAATCTACCAGCGGTTTATCAGGACTCCAGTTCCAGAGATGTGAACTGATCCTGCCTTCTAATTCCAAATCACCAGATAAAACTGACAAAGTATACAAAAGTAGCTGTCATGCCAATAACATTCTCCAAAATCTTAATTTACTCAGACAAAACAGCAAGTTTTGTGATGTGGAAATAGTTGCTGGTAATGCAGTTATCAAGGTAAGTTTTGTTTAATTGTATTGTAAATATTTTACTTTAGTAATAGACCTTCTGATTTTTATTTTTTAATCGCAGCATACTTTCTCTTCCCTAATTATTAGTTTCATTCTTAAAAACAATTTGAACAGTTTTCTAATAGTTTTTAACTTAAAACAGAAAGTTCCCCAATTAACTATTATTGGTTTCTAATTTTACAATCTCCCAGAATTCAAGCTGAGAGTTTTATTCATTGATAGTTCTTGCTCTTCCATCAATCCTCTCGTCTGTCATATTAATGTATACTGTTTGTAATAGCTTTTGTCATTTACCTCCCAATTTTTCAAGTAATTTATATTAATGTAAAATAGTTTCTATATTAATGGAAATGTATTTTTTTCAATTAAACCAATTTTTTTTAATTCATTCTTCCCCAAAACCCCGGGAAATAATAAAATTCGTGGAAGGCATTTGGATTGCTTTGCTAGTTTTAAACATTTTAAAATTTTAGAAAATTTGCTTAGTCCTTGAGTAAAGATAATCAATCAGTTACTAATTAATTCAGTAGGATAATGATTAGATAGAGAACCTGCAATTTATTCATTTAAACGGAAGATGCAGAACTAGCAACTCTTAAGTCAGAAAGTACGTACTGTCCCAAACTATGAAATTCCAGTCAGTTACTTCATACTCGGAAATTTCAAATTGAAAATGTTTTAACATCATAACACATTACTGAAATAATCTCATGATTTACACTTATATAGGGTGTTTCAGTGTTAAGTGGCCAAACTGCAAAAATTAACTGAGGATCTCAAAACTAGAAACAAATTTCTTCTGAAGGTATTTCTGCAAACGCTTTGTTTAGGAGATATTCACACCTAAAGATTTTCGTTGTTATGAATTATTTACGTTATATGAAATAAATAAAACCTATTTAATTGTTCTGACTACGTTATTAATTAAATGTAAACATTAGCTTTCATATTAAATATTGTTGAAAGTGAAGATATGTCTGCAAACGCTTTGTTTAGGAGATGGATTAGGTAGAATACTAATATGGTCTTTTATTCCTAACTGTATAAAAACTATTGGCAGCAAAAGGATTAATACTATTTGGAATTAGCATTGGGAACTCACAATAACATTTATCAGTTTATAAGAGAAGTTTTCGCAGAATACTCATCACTATGCCTTCCATTTATACTAATGGTGAACATGCCGATATGGTATTTGTTTACAGTTTTTGCAATGGTAATGCTAATGCTGCCCATCGTGAATATGCTAGGCGATTTCCGAATAGAAGACTACCAAACAAGTCTTATCTTTAGCTCCACGTTTCAACGTCTTAGAGAAACTGGCACATTTGCTATAATACCACGTGCTCATGGTATTTTTGCTCCTTTTCGAAATGAAAAAATGAGTGCGAACATATTACAATATTTTGATGATAACCCACCTGGCAGTGTATGAAGAGCTGGAGCAGAATTAAATAATACGCCAATTGAAGTATGGAGAATTTTCATTGCAGATGGACTTCACCCATATCATTATCAATGGGTACCAAAGTTATTACCACAAGATTTTCGGCAAAGAAGAAATTTTTCAGATTGGTATTTAAATCAAGTTGAGCACAATTCACAATTTTCAGGAAAAACTTTCTGGACAGATGAAGCTACGTTTACAAGAAGAGGTATCTTCAATCAGAAAAATAATCATCTCTGGTCAGAGGAAAATCCTTATGCAATTCGTGAGCATCATTTTCAGCACCAGTTTCAGTGCAACGTTTGGTTGGGGATAATAGACAATATTATAATAGGTCCACATTTCTTACCGTCTCGACCCAATGTGGGCACATTTCTGGAATTTCTTAATAATGATTACTATGATTTAGTTGAAAATATTCCACTACAACTGAGAAGAAGGGACATGTGGCTTCAATTAGATGGTTATCCTGTACATTATGGAATATGTCCACGACAATGGCTAAATGTTAATTATCCCAATCAATGGATTGGCCGTGTAAGGACAGTGGCTTGAGCCTGTACATTCTCCATACCTGACACCACTGGATTACCTATATATGTAATATATAGTAAGAGTAAGTATTGCGATCGTGAAAATTTTTGAATCTGAGTTTTTGACGGAAATACACGTTTTGAGGTCCTCTGAGTCCAAATAACCAAGTCCTGCAAAATGGTCTTTGTGTGTGTGTGTGTGCCTGTGTGTGTTAACAGTCTAGCTCAAAAACGAAAAGTCGTACGGAAGTTGAATTGCATATTTAAGGTTTTTATATGCTAGAGATGTTATAGCAACTTTCGTTGAAATCGGCTACCCGGAAGTGGCACTTTATACATAGTGGACTAAACACATTTTTATGATTATCTCGCTCATTATTATTATTATTTTTGATAAAACCGCTCTAACGATTTTGATTAAATTCATCATATCAGTGTACAATTAAGCAATTTTAAATAAAATGTGATTATTATTTTGATTTATGTTCTCTGGCTGAATTTTCAATATTAGCTTCTTCTGAAGTACCTTATAATTTTTTTTTATTTGAAACAATTGACCATTTCACATTAATTTCTAATATGAAAAATGGTTAAATATAAAATATTAAAGAATTTGATAAATAACTAAAGGAGATAACGCTAACATATTTTACTAAAATGTACTAGAAGCGGCTTATTGAGGAATTAGTGGAAATTTTACTTTTATAACTGTTTTTGCAAGATACTGGGTAAGGCATTAAATCAGAGAAAGTCGAAAACTTGGGTTTTTAGCAAGGTGATTAACAGAAAAAACATCTGAAAATCCAAATTACTCAAATTTTGCAACTCCATAACTTTAATCAGCAGACTCCAAACTATGGCCCACGAAAGTTTCTTTGATTAAATGGTAAAATTTTAAAAATATGAAATTTAGTAAATCATTCGCTTACGAGGTGACTACAATGTTTATTGCATGAGTTGTCCCTCTCTTTTTTTTCTTTTATTTATAATATTTACAACTGTATTAGTATAAATACATCAAGTAAATGTGTACAGAGGAATATAATCACATGAAAATGCTTGTTGAGAAACTACTCATTGGTAGTGCTCTAATAATCTAATAATAATAATGTCTCTCTTAAAAAACTTTTTTCATCACTGAAGTGTCATGTTTTTTCTGCCTGCAAGACTTAGTTCAGGTTTCGTGGCCCACGGGCCAAATAGTTTGGAGGCCTCTGACTTAAATTCAAATTATCTTCCTCAAATCCGTGTGTATGAAGTAATAGATGCTTATTTCATTGTTTGGGATTTTCATGGGAAATACCTTTTAACTAATGGCTCTCTGTCTCGAAGATTTCAATTTTTAAGGTTTGGATGTTTCATATGGTTAATCACTAAGTCTTTAAGTTTATGAAGCACATATTATGAACTACTGAAATATCATGTACCAAGCCAAGAAATAAGAACAGTTTCTTTATTTACTATTACTGGAAAAAAAAATCAGCCCGGTTGATTCTGCTATGATTGTTATTTATATGTTCCTATTCTTCTGTCATGGATAATTAAAGTTGAGTATTCTGTTGATTTGGTATTTTAACATGATTTATTTTCAGGCCCATCGGTCTATTTTATCAGCCAGCAGTCCATATTTTCAAGCTATGTTTGCTTCTGGACTGGCTGAAATGGAAAAAGATCGCATTGAAATACATTATATTGAAGCAGAAATATTAAAAATGATCATAGATTTTATTTATACTGGTAATTATTTATTTTCTTTTTCATGTATAATTTAAATCAACTCCTGAGTTTTATATTACTTAGATATTTCCATCTTTGCCATTAAAAATACAATAGAAATGCTATTCTAAGTATGTAAGTTTAGTAAGAAGTAAGATCAATGCATGGAAGTAACAAAAATAACTTGAAGTTTATTATTAATTACTATTATTTTTGTTTACATAGATAAAATATTACAGGTTCAATCTCTATTGTTAATTTTAGAACTTTTTAAATGTTTTTTGTATATTTTAGGAGAAATGGTTTTATGTCAAGAAAATGTTCAAGATCTTATTGTTGCTGCTGATATGTTAGAATTGAAAGAGGTTGTTCAAGGTTGCACTGAATTTTTAAGAAACGAACTTCATATTACTAATGCCATTGGGATTTATAGGTCTGATTTATTAATTTTTTTACATTTTGTAGTTAGTTGCTTGGATAGTTATTTAAATTGCGAATATTTTAGTGAGAATTTACAGAACCAATCTTAGGCTACTCTAATCTTGGGCCTGTTAGAAATACATTTGAATCATACTAATCAGTGAACTGATTATTCAGGTGACTAATATGAATAATATCTGAATATTTTCATTATTCTTATAGGACTTTAGTTACAGAATAAAATTATTGTTTCATTTCATTTCATTATTTGAACTTCCAGTCAATCAATACTTCATTAAAACAAAATATTATACTGAAATTCAGTAAACTCAAACTTAAGTAAATTTGTGAGTGATAATCACAAAAATAATTTAAAGGGAGAGTTCAACTTACTGAATCAGCTACGATGAAAAGATTTCTGCAAAGGTCAGATGATAAATATACTAAATTAACTAGTAGTATATCTTTCTTTTTATACTACTGATTATATCCTTCAAAACATCTTTCAAATGAATATATTTAGTATAGGAGTGGCCTGATTTATAATAATTTTAGAATATCTTTTTTGCTATGAAGTATTTGAAATTCCTCATTTTTCTTTTTAGCTGTAGCTAAAATTAATTATTAAATGATTACATAATATATGTAAATAATTATGTAAATACATTGGTTTTTAGCACAATTTTTTTATAGTTGAAATTTCATATTTAGGTTTGCTATGGATCACAACTGTGTGGAATTGGCAAAATTTTCTAGATGTTTTATTGAAAATAATTTTCCCTGTATTACTTTTGAAGAGGAATTTTGTGAACTGCCGAAAGACCTTCTTTTAAATTTTCTTGATAGCGAGCTTCTAAAAGTAGAATCAGAATATCAGGTTAGAAATATATACTTATACACATGTAATTTTTGCACTTTTATTTTGGTATGTAGATCTACTACATATTACTAGTTCATTGATAATAATTTTTCGTCTTTCTTCTTCTTAATAATTTCTCTGTATAATGTAAATCATAAAATGTATGTAAACAAAAAAGTGATAAAAACAAATATTTAAATTTGTGTTTTAATGTTAAAAATGTATTTATAACAGCTTTAGAATAATACTTTTTTTTTATTGGACTTTCTCAGACTAATTATTTCAGGTTTTTGAATATATAAATAATTTTGAAATTTCAGTTTGGTTCAAAATGATTCTATGAATTTTCACAAAATCTAGTTCAGTTTTATAAGCTCAAATAGAATTGTAGGAGATAAATAATCAGGAAGCGGTCATTTATCTCCTGTGATATATAATACAGTTGACTAACTTCCTTCAATAATTCATGAAATAGAATTATTTGTCTTAATTGAAGAAAAAAAATATTAAATTCTATAATACATATTCTAAAGGATAACATATTTAAAAATTAATTATCTTTTTATCTAAATTTCAGGTATTCCAAGCTGTAATGAGGTGGATTAGCTATGACTTATTGTCTAGAAAGAGATTTGTTTTTGAATTACTAAGCCATGTTCGCCTTCCATTGATTTCTGTTACTTTGCTAGAAAGATCAATATCAGACACACCTGATGCCAGTTTGAAGGTATAAATAATTATTGGATTGAATTTCAAATAACGTCTCATAATTGTAAAAAATAAATTATCATAGATGACGCAGTATTAAAGTTAATTATTATTAGGTCTATTTTGTTTTCCTTATTTATAGGTTGCATTGAGATCAGTGAAAAAAGATCTAGTTCTGAAAAAAGGAAATTTGGTACCCCTCTTGGCTTATCCCAGACTTTGTGCAAAGAAAACTATCTTTGTCATCGGGGGTAGTAAAAGAGAAATCGTCAAAACATGGACTCGGTCCCTGGAGTGGACTTATGATACCGTGGAACGATATGATTGCTACTCAGGGTAATTATTGAGCATTTAGAAAATTATTATTGGTTATAATTAAAGAGAAATATGATTTTAATACTTTTATTTGTTTTATTTTAATTATACTATTACTTTGAAGTCTAATTGGTGTATTTTTTTTTTTTTAGTGAATGGTATAAAGGAATTGCTCCAATGGCTATTGGAAGGATTCTGCCTGGTGTTGCAGCTTTAAATGGCAAAATTTACGTAGTCGGAGGCGAGCATGAAAGCCAAATCCTTGCGAATGGTGAAACGTATGATCCTTTGACAAACACTTGGTCAAAAGTTGCAAGCATGGTAAATTCTATTTCTTTAATTTTAAATCTAAAAGTCAATTTACAAAATTTATCTATAAGGATTTTAAAAATAATACTTCGTCAATTTCCGTACTTAAATGTAACTCTACCCATTTATAAAGTAAGTTTTTAACAAAAAAAAAAAATTAAAAGTAAGAACCTGTTATTTATGTATATATTTTTGAATACTTTAAATAGGTACTTAGAAAATAATGCTCGACGGAAATTCCCTATTCCTAATGTTCCCAAAATTGAATATTTCGTTATTTTATTCATCAATTTCCATACTACACCAAGAAAAAAAAATTAATTCATTAAAGCATTTCTTCAAGAAAATAAACTGTTTACAATATTTCCTAATCATGTATAAAATAAACTACTTTAGTAAGGTGCAGCTTAGTTTGATATATGATCTTATCTCATTTAATGTTATATTTTTTCCTGTTTTGGTATGAATTGGTGAAACAATTTGTTATTTAGTGATATTTAACACGTTAGCTGTTGTTACAGTTCTCGGGTTCTGATATTCGTCTTGACTGCCAAGCTGCCGGGATTGTTTCGAATTTTGCCTATCTTACGAAGTCTCTAAAATGGTAATTTTTTTTAAATATTTGAATGGGGGTTGAATAGATAAAAAAATACAAACTTAAATAATATTATATCTGATAAAAAACTGTAGGATGCCGGGGACCGATATCGTGCCATATTATATATAGTACCAGACTGATAAGAAATGATTTCCCTACGGTATCATTCTCTGGTGACTGATACATATTCCCGCCCGCGACAAGAAAGTGCACATGCCTGGTGATTGAGATAATGTTTGGAACATAAGTGGTCAATTCTTCATCTTCATCTCAACATGAAATAAGAAAAACCCATATCAATTACAAAGTACCGATAGATTCTTGCTGATGAACTTGCAACTCATTGCCGACCACCATCACCACGTCTGAATTGTCCTGTCCATTGTTTTATTAAGCCTCCTGATGAGGGAAGAAAACAGCGAAAGTAGTGCAGAGAATGCTAGAGAAAACTGAGAAGGACGCTAGGAAGTAAGGAAGCAAATAAGAAAACACAGAAAGTCACTCGTTTGTGTGTGGACTATGATGGGATGTCTGGGTTCTGTTTGCCACACTTCAACCAGTTAGAAACTTAATACTTCACTTTCATTTTTCCTTTTCTTAAAATAAATTCCAATGTAATAGTGAATACCCAAATAACTATATAGTTCTTATATTGCCACAATATGGTACTTATTATGTAACTTTAATTTTTTATATTCCAATTTTATCTTGACATTGAAAAATTATTACATAAATAATGTAAAAATTATACCATGAAAGTTATCATTGTATGTAATAAATACAATTTTTCTCATTTCATTTTCAATATTTAAGATTTATAACCTTAAATATTACACTTTTTTTACTGAAATAAAGAGAAATAGTAAAAATCTAGTCATATAAATGGCATCGGACGTTGGAGTCCACTCCTATAATTGATAGCCATTGATGAGGACACAATCAACAGATAGAGAGACTTAATAGGGAATTTAGTTTACCTTTGTAGTCAAAAGATAGCGGTATACCTTGAAACTGGTGTATGTCTCTGTCGTCCGATGACATTAGGAACTTTATAACTAGTGTCAGTCACTGGAAACCGGTATTGTCGGGAAAGACATTTAAGAGATATCATGCTCAGCAGCTAACGTGTTAAGAAACTTAATGATTTGTTTTAAATCTTTCAATTATATTAAAATATTTTGCTTTTTTTTTTTTACATGTCAATTATCATTTTGAGTATTTAATATAACTGAGTAGTTAATATAACAAATGTTCCAGGTGGTTCCCCGGTGTGAATTTGGCTTGTGTGCAGTTGAAGGTGAACTCTATGCTCTTGGTGGTTGGGTCGGTGATGATATTGGTGGATCAATTGAGAGGTACTGGTTTTTTAAACATTTATGTGGTAAATCTTTAATTGTTTATGATCCCTGTCACTAGCAGATCCAGGATTTAATTTTGGGGTGGCTTCAGCCCAAAAGCTTTTTTTTCATAAAAATAACGATAATTACTTTGGAAAAAAAGAAAGAAACTAACTACCTATATGAAATGGTGTTTAAGTGATTCCTAAAGCCCTTTTAAATTTAATTACACGAACAATAATACTTTGAGAGATAATTTTTTTCGATAAAATATGGTTATATTTTCCCATTTTGGGGAGGGAGGGCTTCAGCCCGAAAGCCCCCCCTCCCTCCGTAGATCCGCCCGTGATCCCTGTTAAAAAAATTAGTCGATACATTTTGATATTTGAACTTCAAATGTATCAACTACAACAGACCTGATCATGACTTCACAAATCAAATGATTTCATGAGCTACTTATTTTATTTTATATTATTTTTTTTATGGCTGGGTATCTGACATTTTGTTAATTTAATCTTTTTATGTAACAGGTATAATCCAGTTGTCGATGAGTGGCACCTGGAAGGAGAAATGCCTGAGCCTAGGTTCAGTATGGGAGTGGTTTCTTATGAGGGTAAGTGTTAATATGAGACTGACAAATATTTATATATCATTATTACATCCAGTTTTAAAAAATAATTGTTTATAAATTAACTTTTAAAATAACTAAGAATTTAATTTGATTATTTTTGAAGGTTTAATATACATTGTCGGAGGGTGCACACATTTGAGAAGACATCTTCAAGACTTGATATGCTTCGACCCAGGGACCGGAGAGTATCAAAACCTTGCACCTATGCTTGAGCCTAGGTCACAGATAGGGGTTGCAATTCTTGGTGGTTTCTTATATGTCGTTGGCGGTATTAACAAGGAACATGATGTTCTCAGATCTGTAGAGAGGTATTCCTTTGAGCAGGTAAATATTGTTGCCTTACATCGTGAAAGAATGAATTTAATCTTTAAATATTGGTCACTATCTGTATCATTTTCTTCATCTATTTTAGTATTATTATAATTTATATTCAGGGTTTAAGTTAAGTCATGTATTAAGTGCTTCTCTTAATACTTTAACTAAAAAATGAGAAAAAAAGTGTACTGTTTTTCCTGTATGGATAACTAACTGTTTCCCATTTTTCATACTGTAATATTAACAATAAACATGATTTTTAATGTTTTAACTCATAAAGCACTTGTGGGTTTTTATTATTGTATGACTGCTCTTTGCTTTTAGGCATTTTTCATTTATTATTCGTTACAATTGTTCTTTTAGTCTAATAAACAGTATATTAATTAATTTCACTGTTTTAAAATCCTGTAAGTGATATAGTTTTAGAATAGAATAGAATAGAAAATGATTTTATTCTGGGACGAAGTCCCTTCAGAACAACGAAAAAGTGCAAAATTAAAATGTTATATCTGGCCAAATAAAAACAAACATAAAAAGTAAAGATAAAGATAAATCAGTAAAAAAAAAAAAATATTAGCTATACATACTATATACAAAATAAAATAAAAAAATCTATATAAAAAACTCTTGAAACCTTGCCAAGACACTTAAAACAATGTACAATGGTAAAATATAAATATACACTTTTAGAAAAAATAAAAAATACAGAAAAAAATAAATGTAAATTGTTCTTAGCAGTAAACTCTGTGTTTCTGTTGAAAAAAAAAGAAAGTCGAATCTATAATATGTATTTAAGTTACGAGCTATAAGTGAATACATTATTATAAATAATATATAATTTTACATAAAAGGTTAGCGGATTTCTGACTGTTTTTGGGACAGGAATTGGAATAATTCCTGATAAACTGTTGTGTATCTGTTCCCTTGGGGCATTGAAAGAAACTGTTGTATACCTTGCTCCACTAAGCCTGAACGAAGCATAAAGACAGTAAAAAATTATTATAATGTCGTAAACAACAAATCAATTCTCTAGAGCTCTTATGTTTGCCTTAAGTAGTCTCCAGGAGGCTTCAGAAGATTGGTAGCATATTTAGAAACACTAGCGGATCCAGGATTTAATTTTGGGGGGGTATATATATATATATATATATATATATATATATATATATATATGTGTATGTGTGTTTGTATGTGTATATATGTGTATGTATGTATGCGATTATTTTTACTCGAAATTTTTTTTGACACTGCTAACTAGAGTTTTTTGACACTGCCAGTGTTTCAACTGCCTCCCGCAGTACCACAAATTACGGTATGTTTTTACTTTTATTGTGATTCTTTTCTTAACACACCTATCCTTCAACTATACACCCTATTATTATCTTCATTCAGCCTACCATTCCATTACCTCTTTCAAAAAACTAAATGTCAATTGTCATCTATATATAGTACAACCTGTTTTTGTTTCTTTATCATCATAACCTTGTTTTAACATTTATTCTTACATTTTAAAGTATTCTTTTAAAATTATTGTTTTCTTATAGAGTTATTTATACTTAATAATCCATCCCAACAATATTACACTAATGTTACCCTATTAATCTTTCAATTTCTTCACTTCTTAACCTTTAGTCCCGTTATCTGTTTATTTACAATTAAAGGTAACCTCCACTTGCTTGTTATCCACTGATATCTTATTATTATGTTATCTTATCCATATTTTAACTTTACTGTAACAATAGTTATTCAATTTTCAATCTATTTATTCGTTAACATTCATGTATTTATTTTCTTTTATCTATTTTCTTATCATGTATTTATTTTATTTATCTTTTATTTCTGTATCTGACAACTTCTTCGTAATTTATATATACTTATATTTATTTTTTATTTTATTTTTATTTTTTCAACATGTTTGTATCTTTTGTAGCCCTGAAGACGACCTGCAAAGTGGGTCGAAACGTCGGCAAAAATTAAAATTATTTATATATTTTAATTGTTTTTATTTATTTGACCGCACCCTCGACTAACTCCTTCTCATATTCCTTAAGTACTTTTAAATGTAATTACACGAACAATAATACTTTAAGAGGTATTTTTAAAATTTTTTTCCCCATAAAACATGGTTATATTTTTCCATTTTGGGGGGGGGGCTTCAGCCTGAAAGCGAACGAACTCCTTCCTTTGAAATAGGGCTTATAAATTTGATTCTTTAACAAATAAAAGTATTATGAAATTTTAGAAAATCCACCATTTTGTCTCAAGATTTCAGATAAAAATTCAATGATTCCAAAAATCTAAAAAAAAATAAACAACTTTAACTTTAAATCTTTTAGTATAAAGCTACTAGAATGAACTCATGACAGTACTAAACTTGCCTACATTATTATGCTTCTAAAAATAAACATAAAATTAAGGCAGTATTTCTAGTTTATTGTTTTGTTGTTTCTTATGGGAAAAATTGGAAACACGTTTCAAAACAGTATTTATAGGTAACTAACTAAATTTAAATAAAATTTAATTTTTTTATTTTATTACATATATTTGTTTTCAGAACAAATGGTCATATTGCGGTCTGCTGAAAGTGGGACGAGCAAGCCCAGCTGTGGCTGCTGCGGGAGGTTATCTTTATGTTATGGGAGGTGATCAGACCCACGAGGTCAACTTCTACAGGGCTCAGGTAACAATAGCATCTGTCGAGCGGTACGATCCAGAGAAGGGAGTTTGGGAGGACTCCTCACCGTTGCCAGACAGTAGGAGCGAAGCAGCCGCTATTGTACTTTGATGTCATTAATCAAATCTTTCGCTTTATAGCTCTCAGCATTTTAGTCATTTCGTATTTTATTTCACTCTGAAATATTTAAATTAGGGATTTTCTTTGATGGATTGATTTTTTGCCAAACATCACCTTAGCTTTGGAGATAAGACTTTTTGCTGATGCTTTAAATTTATTGCAATTAATATTGTGTTGAACCATTCATTCGCAGAATTTGTTAATTTGAATTAATATCATTTGATATAACTTATTTATTGAATAAATTTAATTATTTAAACTTTCTGTTATTAGTTTTGAAATTTTTTTCATGTCATCTTAATTGTAATTGCTGTTTCAAGATCATTATGTATTCGAAATTAGATAACTAATTTTTTTTGTTACAGTACAAAAATAATTATGTTTATATTTTTGTCGAGTTTTAAAGTGAATCTTAATGCTTTGTCCACTTCATTGGCAGGCATTTGTCGTATTAATTTTGTTAATATTCTGCTTTAAATGAATGATGTTAGATGATCTTCATATATGAACCAACTTAATGTAGAGATAAAATTCTAATTAAATTTCTATAAAGATGAAATATTAATACAAGTTGTAGAAGAGCTCTATTTTTGAAATTAATCATTATTTAATTATCACAGACCACCAAGTCAGCCTCAACTGTCCACTTATACTTACTTAAAATATTAATATAAAATACTTCGGACATCACCTTAGTTGTTAATTACGTTTCAAATGAAATTAGTTCCCGCTCACTCACCGATCAGAACCAATTTAAAACAAAGCGGTTCAGATTAGTAATAAATTTTAATCTCTAAATTTGAAAAAATATAATTTGGCGTCATTAATAACAATTTTAATTTGTTTTTAAAATTTTTTTATTGAAATTTACAACTGTATTTGAAACATATGCCATTACTATAATTTCTTATTATACATTCCATGCAGTGTTCTCAGTTAAAATTTTTAAAAAAATTCTAATTAGTAATTCTTGTCTAGTAATTTGTTTACATGATTTTTTTTCCTCTGTCATTTTATTTATTAAATTACAAAATCAATATATTTTTAGTCAATCAAATAATTATATTAAAATTAAAAATTTAATTTCTATCTACATTGATTTATCTCAAAGATAATCCCTAGTACTTAAAAATGATTATTGTTATATTTTAGTTTCTTTGATTAATAATATTTATCCTAATTTTTTTTTGTATACTGGTGGTCATTGTATTATTTTAATTCTTAAGCATTTATGTAAACCCTTGTACATATCACTCTGTGTTCATATTATTTTACTCCTTTATAACTATTCACATGCTTGATATTGGTAAGTATCGTATTTGTTATGGTTTTGATTTTTAAATACTATAAATATATTTATCTAGTTCACTATTCACATTCATCTGCCTTTATTAATAATTTATTTTAACAAATGCTTTTTCTGCTTTTGATTGTTCTTTTATTGATTACTATAATTAATAAATTTTAATTTTATATGTGAGGTAAAGAATGGCGAGTTACAAATAGGGATTTGAACAAACTATTATTGAATTTTTTTTTTGTCTAGTTGTCATTTCCGAACATTGAGATATTTGGCCATGTGGTGTGGTTTTATTCAGGCTTTATTGCAAATTATGGTTACATGTTGATGATGGTAGACCATCCAAAGCTGCACAAATTATACCATTGACAAATTGATCTAGATCTATTGATTTTAAAGGCCTACAAAGCTGAAATGATGGACCATACCTCTGTAAACTATACTTTTGGAAAAAAAACAAACATGTAATCCTACTTTTTCTTTTAAGTTTCGAAAAATAATAACTTATTAAAATTATCTATATATTTATAAATGTGTAATTTGTGAAGTATTCATAAGAAATACTTTTTGAATGCATGTACAAATATTTAGTAGGCTCTGTAGAAAACACGCAGCACAACAAATTATGAAAATATCTTTAGAATTTTATGTATGCATATTAAATTTAATACTTATTTTCGAAGAGATTAAATCATATTACTAATGCTAAATTATTATCTATTTATAATTAAAGAAAAGATTTTCAAAATATTAGACTTGCCATTCTCTGCCTCTGGCCTTCAGCTGTTTCAAACACGTAAATTAAATTATTCATCATTTTTTTAATCCAGATCAGTTTCAGGTTATTTTGTTTTTCTTGATTTTATATTGGAGACTTTTCTCCTACTACCTTAACTAACTTCCCCAGGGTCGATATGGAAAGAATCTTTTGGTTTTAAATTGAGAAATATATCATTTGAAGGATTTATAATCTATTTTATCTAAAAGTAATATTTGTTCCCGTTTAATTTAATGTTTAGTCTAATGGTTTATATAGACTGCTACAAAAATAAAACATATATACATCAAGTATTTAATTGAATGTATATGTTTGTATATATATATCCATATAATTATATCTGGCATCTTGTATAATGCCTCAACCATGAGGCAATCCTGTAAGTCAATGAATTTCTTAATCTTTGTTCAATATATTTTAATTGATTTAATATTTTATGGTAATTAAGGCTTAAGGCTAAATTGTTAATATTGTTTATATTTCATATTATGTGAATCGGGTGTATATTTTTTTTACTAAAACTTTAATTTATATTCGCTTTATTTAAATTAGGTGGCTTGTTGACATTTCAATGCAATGGCATAAAATTAAAAGAGACTGCTTTCCTAACAAAAATTTTAAGACTAAAATACTCACCCACTTCCCTGGTTCGGATCAATTGTTAATTTTAGAATATTCAGTATATTAGTAAGGACGCCTGGCCCTGAAGTATGTAACTCGAATGAATGAAGAATATTATGTGCATGCTTGTACGAAGATGATTCCCGATTCAGGTGCCTGGTTCATACTTTGAAAGCTTGACCAACTTTAGTAATATATTAATTGTAAACACTTAAAGTATTAGCTGTAAGGAGAGGAAGAGCTCATTAATGCACCTCAGCCATAATTATGATTGCACATGACGTGCAGTTTTTCACGCTCAATTTTCTCAGCATTTCAATTTTTTGTTTTTTTTGTTTGTCCCTCTCATTGGGACTGAGAACGACCTCGCTTATGAAATTTTATTTAATGCGTTATGTCCTCCCACAGTTTAATTTAGTATATTATTTTCATAATTAATTTAAGCATTTCTGATTTGATAACGGCTGTGCTTTTTAAAAGGAATGAATCCTAAATTGGACGTAATATATAAATTTAAATATTATAAGTAGCTAGTATTGTGCTTAATGTTTGGGTACAGCCCTGGCAATATTGTCTCTTAAAGTTATCTTATTATATCAAATGGACTTGTCAAGACTTATGTAGTTTATACTTAATTAGGTTTATTTTTAATTCAAATATAAATGTGTAAGAAATTGCATTTGATATTTAAAATATTGCTTATATTTATTTTTCTAAAGATAATGAATGTTTTTCACAAGCCCAATTACATTTTAGTTAAAATTTTCTGTCAACATAAAAATTCTCTATCAAATATTAAACTAGTCAAAAAATCCATTTGTATTATTTTATATTATATTATTTTAATAAATCGGAAAGAGATTAAAAGTAGTGAGGAAAGTTGAAAATTTTTGATTTGTCCATTTGATAGATATCCCACTTGAGAGTTGTATTTGATAATTATGATTGAAATATTGTGTTCCTATGTTATTTAGATAGTTAAATTTGTTTTTATTATTTGTTTATTTTATTTTAGATCATTTATAATTGAATTATTGAAATAAAAATATTTATTTATTTAATAACTGTTATTATAGATACATATATATTTTTGTTATTTTGTGTATGGTATCCAGAAGTAAATATTGGAGTTATGAATTATTGATGTTCATTAATAAAAATATATATATTATAACTCATTTGTTGATTAATTCTATACAATAAATGCAATAATCCTTAGATTTATTTGAAATATCGTCATCACATACACACACACATATTCAATTGAACGAATGATTATGAACTGAAGTTTTGGTAAACATCAACACTGTTCAAGGCATTGATTATAGTGGAGCATAAAACGGGTGAACAGTTTATAATACTTTGAGCATTCAATTGTTTTCTTGAATTACTGATACACAGTATTAGTCAAATCTATTCACTGTACATATTATACTACAATTATAATTTTATCAGTTTTAATTGGTAAACAGAGAAGAAAAAAAAAATGCTTTGACTTACGAATGAGCCGATCCAACTTTAATTTCCCTCTAAGTTATATAATAAAAGTGTTATTAAAGCAGAACTAACATTTAAAATCACTAATTGACAAATATAAAAATAAGACAACTGTATAAATTATTTTTTACTAAGTTCATACTACAAGGACCTTGACTGACAAAGGATGACAGAACACGGAACAACCAAAATTGACACTTATTTGGACTTACTGACATTAAATCTGCATATGAACGACCTCACTAGTTATGTGTAAACATAGAAAAGCGAACAGAGCATTTGTACTGTAATGGTTTTAAATTTATTTTTGTTCATTTATAGTTTATTTCCATAATTATTGATACAAACTGATACCATGATTTATCAATTCTCTGTAATTATTAATATATTTACAATTTCTTTGTTCAACTATTCAATTGACTTAATTTTTTTAAAAAAATTTTCACAGTTATTTTAATGAATCAAGGATTATTGCAAATATTTGATGATTTTACTTGCCAGTGCTGTGCACTTGTTCTAAAGGCATATGAAGCATATAATAATGGAAGGGAAAGAAGTAGAAGAAAATAGGTCTATGTACATTATATCAATGGTGATTACGTTTATGAATAATTGTATAAGTTAGTTTAATAAAGGAATGAAGAACAAATGTAAATCCGTACCATATTTGCATTGTATAGAGTATTATGTATCATTTCATTAGCCTTTTAAAATAAGTGTACAAATATTTCACTTGTATTTAATTTCACAATTTAATAAATGTAAAAAGCATTTACATATGGTATTTATTTGTTTTTTTATCCTTTGTTCTAATTTAAGTAAGCATTCCAGTTTCAATCACATAAGTAGTGGTACGGTACAATTGACGCACTATTTCCTTTTTTCAGAGAAAATGTTGGATATGTTGTCTAAATTTTGATATTCTAAAATTTATTTTAATTATTTTGGAACTATTTGGTTTATTGGACTGTTCATTAATCCCATAGTTACATATTGCAATCGCTAAGCTTTTAATGGTCGATGCTTGATTTTATTCTTTAATGATTTTAAACATTTTATTTTGCCAAAATTAATACATGTCTACTAATGAACATCATGATTAGATATAACCAACGGTATTAGTAAACTTTTGATATGGAGTGAAGTTCAGTCATTTTTTTAGTTTTGAATATATTAGAATATTCTAATTTTTTTATAGAGAGAATCTTGTCCTCCCATATATTTCAATAAAACATCATTACCGCAAACGGACAAGGTCAACTACTTAAGACTAATGTTTGATAAAAGACTGCCTTGTTACCCACAAATTAAGAAAATAAAGATGTTAAATCAAAGAATTAATCTGTTATACTTATTACCGAGATTACAATTAAAGTTAAAATTAATACAGAAATTTGCCAAATACACATACTTAAACCAATTTGGTCCTACATTTTTCAAAATTTCAGTTCTGCCAAAATGGCACACATACAAAGACTCCAAACATTTCAATCCATAATATTTTGAATCATACTGATTTTTATTTTATATTCTGACCTTAGAATGCCCGAATTCAGTGAATAAATATGTACTCACTACAGAAGATTTCATGGCAACTTACAATGATATCTCAATCAGCTAATAGGAATAATGGCCTCTCCGTGATGTTTTCAGGCATGTTAATAGATAATAGATGTTAATGAGAGATCTGTGAATTTATTTTATTTTTTTGTCAAAAATAATGCCATGGAAGAGATACCGGTGGGTATTTTTCTTTCTCATGCTTGACATGTCATTATTATTTTATTTCTCATCTTTACGGAAAATTCATTGATTGTCAGTGATTTATTAGACAGATGTGGATGTAAAAATAAAGTTAAAAAAAAAAATTACGAGAGTAAAATTGTATATTTATATTTAAAATTTATATTTTTTATTGCCATTTAGTAGCTTCTGACTACCTGTTTACCTTGGGTCAGTTGCTACTTAAAGTTATAGGGACCTAAACTGAGCTAGATCTGGATGGGAAAACCAAGGAGAATCCTCTAGGAGGCGACAGAGGATAAAAGGTAATGACGGGAAACTGGGTAAAAACCAGCTTGATGATGATGGGTGGTTGTCTTTCAGTAAACACAACAGGCCTGAAATGGTTTCTTTATAACCTGTCCTAGAAATGGCTGTGTTGAGCGGTTTTGAAGCCATCGCATCCTGTAAAAATCAAGAAGATAAAATTTATTAATTTAAGAGAGCATATTTAATTATATTTTTTCTTTACAATATATAATAAAATATAACTAGTGTCTGCCCAGTAGTTGAAATTCGACCATAATCATTAAGGAAAATATTAATGAATTTGCATGTTTCCAACATTTTTTAATTGACAGAATGACTAACTCCTATTTCAACATTTTTGAGTAATGTCATTTTAGCGATATTTCTAGTTGGAAAATTGATAGTATCTGTACGGAGAGTGAGTAAGTTGATGCCAGAGAAGACGATTGTAGAACTGAAAGTAAAGGTGTACAATACATTTTCCCACTAGAGATAAAACTTAAATTAATAATAAAAAATGTTGAAATTGTAGTCATTTCGTCAACTGAAAGGCTCATATATTTGTATATTCGCTGTTATTTGTACTTTAAAAACAAATTAACAGTGCAGTACCATTTGAGTTATATGTAAATACAAATGATGTGAATTCATCATAAGTTTTATAAAAAATAATATTTGAACCCATTTTCCTCACTCGGCGAAGATGTGAGGCAAAAAATTTATTTTTTATTGCTAAGAAAATTTTTTATTTGAAGGTATATAATGATTAATTTATTCATATTTGTATAACAATTAAATGTATATGAAAACACTCCTGAATTCTATTTCAACATTGCATACAAATTTTAATTAAAGCAATTGTAATTAAAATTGTAAAAACTTCTAGGGATTGTAAATGTTTTTTGAAAGAATGGTCATAAGGTAATGTATGAAAAAAATTATTACTGGTTTGATCCTTTTCAGAAGAATTAATGATCCATATAATGAAACTATTATTATTTTCTTTGTTTGTTTTTGTAAATTGATAGATATTTTATTTTTATTATTATTTTTAACTTCTCTGTAACAATTTGTTTTTTATTTTTTAATTCCTATAATCTCATGTATACATTAGCAATTTTCACATAAAATAAACCACTACCATTTCTTGTCTAGATGACATTACGTTTTTTGGAATGACAAAATTACCAGGAAAAAAGATTAAACTACCTTTTTTTTTCTAATTACCTAATTATTCACACAATAATTTTAAGTGCTCCTACATTTCAACGGCTCGCAAAAAATGAATTTTTTTTATTTCTGTGAATAAATAGAACTAGAAAACCAAAATTCAGTCATTGTAAAACATGTAGCAAAGTTATCTTGAAAACTAAATTGCTTAACTTGTATGATTTTTATAACTAATTCTTAAATTAGTTTTTAAAACTTGAATATGATTAGAAAAACAAACCCAATTTGTGTTGATTTTATGCTGTAATGCATATTTGTCAATGGATTTATGGAAATGTTCCAAAACTAGAGTGAGAGAAATATTTTCCATTATTCCTGCACATACTAATAAGAATTTCCACCTTTTGTTTTTGTCCCAATGGAATACATGCCTGAAACAGTTGAATATATATATTTTTAATTTGATTTAGTTCACTAGTAAAATAAATTAAAGAATATTCAATATGTAAAATTTATGATTTAAAAATTTAGCAAAGAAAGTTGTTTAGATGAGAGCATGTTTTTATTACTGGAATAATGAAATAATATATTTTTTTTAAATGCTATTTTAATTATGATCCCAATTTCTTCAAAAGATCTTTGATAATTATTGCAAAGGAATATAATTATAATTATTTATCAATTGAAAACCATAAAAAATTATTGAGACCCTAAATGAGGCAATGAGAGCTTGCGATGTTATCTCTATAAATCACATATTTTAAAACATCTTTTCAAAGTTTACTAAGTTAAAAAAAAAAAAAAAATGAACTCTAATTTTATCTAATAACTTCAAATAATGGGATAGGTTAAAACTGAGCTAAAAACAGATTATTCTACTTATTTAATGATTTTTTTTAATATATGTTAATGACCCCATATTCATGTAATTGTAAATAAACAGATAAGCTCTTAATAGGTGTATAAATCATTTGTTCGTTTTAATTATTTTTATTTTATTTTTTTATTAATTGATTAAAGTTAAAAGGTAACCTATACCTCTTTTAATTTTTTTTATTTATTATGGATATTTCCTTTTTGTTTTTTGAAATTATTCTCTGGGGATAAAAAGCCCACATTTCTATCTTTATATATTATTCTAAAGGGAATAGCCCAGAATAAATAATCATTATTATTATCATCATATAAAAAAATTAAAAATAATTAACAGTGGTCTCTTGTTTTACCTCTAAGTTTATAAATACCAATGTTATTTGATTACTTTTTTTTGTAATTGTTTGACTTGTTTCCAGAATATTATATGCTAATTTGGGGTAATTGCAAACTATATTTTACTAAGTTTACCATTTAATAACTGTTATATCTTTATTTTTAAGCTGGATTTTTCTATTTTTTTCCCAATGTTCTGAGACAATTATATTTTAAATATTGCACTTAAGCCCATATTTCAGTCATAAAAATGACAATTCAATTTAGTATTACCAAGTAAACATTTAGCAAGATAGTTATGCAGTTAGCCATCATTACCTTAACTTTGTTTCCCTTTTATAATCAGGTAAGTGTTAACTAACATATTACAAAATAATTTTTAAAGCGATTATTATTTACTTCATTATATCAGAAGTAGTTGGTCTTTTTTCCGGCACAGCACTCAACATCCACGAAATTAAATCCAAGGCTTCGTGGTTGTCAAGTTTCAAAATCGGAGTTCCTTGGATTAAACTTCTAACAATATCCGCAGGCGTTCTCCCGAAAGGATGTAAACCAGCCGTTAGAATGTAATGACTAAGCATTCCAAGCACTTGTACATCAGACGAGCATGTAGCCATTACCTATAAAAAAAAAGTTGTGCGATGTTAAAAAAACATATTCAGATTTTTAAAAAAAATGTAACTATATTCATGCAAGATCGCATTTATTGTTGGAACTATAAGTGAATTCACAGCATAATGATTGGATACATATCTTAGTTTATAAAGATATAGGTTAATTGTCTTAAAGTTACAATTGCTCAGGTCCATTAAAAATGTAAAGAATGTTAAAAAGAGTTCACATGTGTAGGATTGCAAAATTTATCATAAGATACATGTATCAAGATGATAAAATCATAGGGTAAGGGCAGTAGCTTTGTGATTTCTTTAATCTAGAAGTGAAATCATATCCCGGGTGTTGGAATTACTCAATGATCATAGAATCATCAGATATCTTATGAAATTTATATGGATGCTCTTTCAGCATTTCCTGCAAAACAATGTTTTGGAATCATTAAATTATATGGATGCGCTGGCTTCTCCTCAAAACATGTAGTTCATAACTTCATCCTTACTCTATGATGAACTGATGTTTGATGACACAAAACTTTACTTGCTATATCTTATCGCTTAGATCGCTACATCTACAATTTTTCTATAGTTATTCTCTCTTCTAACTCATTGGAGAAAGTTGAAATGATCAACCCCACTATTTTTTTCTACCTGTACCCGAAGGCTATGTAGTTCAGGTAGTTATCCTTGCTTAATAACCGAGGGAAATCATCTTCCATGATGGTGGAGAGTCCAGTATCCCTTAGCAGTAGTTTGGTGCTTATTGACTAAAAAGCGGTGCCGGTTGTGGCGACGTACTCAGCTTTCAGGAACACCACAACAGGGACATAGGGAGTTAATTGCCTTCCCAAAGACATGATGCTTGGCCCAAAACCCACCATGCCCTGTGAGGAATTGTAACATCCAATAATTAGAGAGGACTCATTTTTCTTCCAGCCTTGAATAGACAGTAGAAAAGTATTTTCTCAAGGTAGAGCCTTTATGAGTAGTTATCCACCGTCGATTCCACTTCGCAATGGTGACCTCCCATATTATTCTTTTACATTTAGATGGGTCTGCCGCAATCCTTCCTTGGAGATTTTGGATTCTGGAAAATTCGCTGAGCCTTCTTTCTAAAGAATATACTTAATATAGCTTATTTTCTTGCTGGAAAAGGTCGAGAAGTACCCCTCCCACTAAAACCTGCACCACTTCATGAGCCAGTCTTACTCCATTGTAGATAGTCATTGTTGCACGGTATTGTAGATAGTCATTGTTGCACGGTAAGGCCAAAGATGGGATCCCAATATAACTTATTCCATTGAGCGCTAGGATCACAGTACTTCTTAAGTAATCCAAGTGAGCAGTTACATTGAATCTTCTAAATATTATTTTTTTATAATGTAAGCCTTTTTTTCTTTTATTTAATATTTTCTTTTGTTTATTTTATGCTTTATTTAAGATTTTACTACTTATATTTAGAATACTTCCCCAAAACAAAATAAACTAACCGTCCAATCAATACGATAATGCCAGTATGTTTCTCGAGACCACCATAAGGCTGCTTTCATGGAGGTACAGAGTTGCTGGTATGTTGTCTAGAAAAAAAAAATTATACATAACCAACTTCAAATTATATATTTATATTACCTAAATTAAAATATTCTTTTTAATGCTAAAAAAATTAATTCAAAATCATTTTAAAAGATAGTTCATTTAAGTATTATATGATTTAATTTTCTAAAATGTTACTTAATGACTTTTTACAATAAACCATGATATTTGTTCATGAATCTATATTATAAAAAAACAATTTAAAAAAAAGTTATATCCTATCTAGTGAACACCGATGTCAGCTTTGAATTTTCTAAAATATTACTTAATGAATTTTTACAATTGTTGGAAATAAATACAGTTTATTTATTTTATATTTTAACATGTGGTGTGCACCATTGTTGTTTATCATGTTAACCTGTTTCAGAGTTGTTGCGTTTTGTGTGGTGCAAACGATATATTTGATTATTATTGAATATTATAATATAGAGTGAAAATTGATCATAAATACAGTGTTTTCAGACATTACTTTTGTTTCTTATTGCATTTATAAGCCCCAACAACAATATACCGATGATAATCGTTCATGAATCTATATTATAATAAAAATAATTTTAAAAAGGAGTTACGTCCTAACCGATACCTCATGAACACCGATGTCAGCTACTCGGAGATTTCCTGCGGCATCAATTAGCAAATTGGTTGGCTTCACTTTGCTATGGACAATAGGGGACTCTTGTGGGTGAAGGTAATGAAGTCCTCCTATTGTCTAAAAAATAAATTATAGATTAAAAAGAAAAGTACTAATTGGATTTTTCAGTAAAATTGAAAACTAATACTTGATATTTTTGAAGACAATTTATGAAAAAAAAGTAGTGTATTTATTTACTTCAATATTTTGACTCCCTTTATAAAGCTTTATCTAAGACCATGGGGTACTTTTTTTTATTTGGCATCAAAATCATCCGTGATTTCAAGATTATCCTTAAAATTCAACATTATAGTGTGCCATTTGGTTTAAACTGAGCCTTTTTTGTTTTCTAATAAGCACAAAAATTTAAGGTTGTACATGTATGATCCTTGGAATTCAATAAAACTATCCAATAAGTGATTTCATAAGCCATATATAAGTAATTTATGAAGATATAAGAAAATATTAAATGTTTTAGAATCATTATAACACAGAAAAAACTAAAACTAAAATAAATCATTTCAATTTTCTATTTATAATTCTGGAACACTTTTTCTATTGTTTGTTAGGGTTATCTGTTTGGAACAATAAACCATTGTGTAGCAATTTATGGCATACTTCATTAATGGGCAGAATAATTGAATTTTTCATATCACATGTAGGAATTTTTGAAATTACAATTTACTAGCTTAATTAATTTTATTTACTTATTCTATATTCAATTGTAATACTACCTTTAACTTCTATCCTAATCCTAAGATATTGGATGGCTAAGAAGTGATGTCTCATAACTACCATTAAAAAAGATTTCTTGTTTTTACAGTATTAACATAATACTATATGCCATCAACTAGTGTGATCTCATGCTTGTAGGCAAGAGCAGTATATGTGAAAAATAGAATGTCATGACATTTAGTATTTTTGAGTGACACAATTTTTCAGGTGATAATTTCTATTAACATTAATGAACAATAGAGGGACCAGGTGGCCGAGTGGGCTAAGATGTTAACAATACACGATTTGTCTGATAACCTGTTAACCTGAAGATTATGAATTTGAGTCCTGCAGTCGGGGCATTTAACCTCGCCCTCTTTTCTGGCCTGAGAAAGACGAGGAAGAGGAGAAAAAAAGTTGAGGAACTTGAAACAAATTACTATATTTTGATATACCTCCTTAAAGCCAGGAAAAATAGACAAATATTCAGACAGTTTTTAATTTGTATTTGTGTCCCTACAGTAAAGTAGTCATTTTGCAGATAGGAAGATTCACTTCTTAGCCAGATTTTATTAAAAACAACCTAGCCACATTCTACCCAGTACCTCATGTATCCCGAAGTCTGCTAATCTCAGATTCCCTGCAGCATCTAGTAATAAATTGGTTGGCTTCAGGTTACCATGAACAATCGGAGGCTCTTGTGAATGAAGATAATGTAGTCCTGCCATTGTCTAAAATAGATTGTAGATTAATGATTATTCAGTGTTCATTTAATTATTTTCTTAAAATCTTTTAGAGTAGAGGAAAATAATTTTGTATACTTCAAGTTCATGAAAAAAAATTACTTGTATCATATTTTTCAACACAATTGAAAACATTAACTATAAATAATAATCTTATGTTACGACTATAAATAAATTTTTTAAATGATAGATAAAACTTCCTTTCTTTTTTTTTTTTTGATTTATTCATGTTATGAGTCTAGTATATACAGTATAGGTCTCTTTCCGACTTCTCAGCAGCGAAAGATTTTGAGAAATGGGGTGTAAAAAAAGCAAAAAACAATTTCATGTGAAGAAATAATCCTGATTGGAGAGATATAATTGATCTACATTAAAACCGGTTGTATTTAGTGTAAGTGGAATTTGATGCTCTACATCTTTTACTTTGGCAGTTTTTTCTCTTAAAGAACTCATTTCCCAGCTGCAGTGCCATTTATAGTAATTCCTATCTGTTTTTGTCGAATTTCGTAAAAATCAGGTTGGTTGACAGCGGTTTTTCGACCATACTAATTAACAAAATTAATAAGTTTAGGTACTCATTCGACACACAATTTAACGTTCTTTAATTTCATAAAGAATATGTTTTTTGTTTCAATGTACCGTTCAGGAGTTATAGGTGAAAAAAAAAAAAAAAGATAAACAAAAATAAAGGCAGACTCTCATTTTGTTATAAATATTCAATAAAATGTTTTCAACTCTTCATCAAATAATGTCGATTTTTTCTAACTGGTTCTCGGACTATTTCATAATGTTGGCCATTTTTATAATCGTATCTAATTTTTTTCATACTTCTATTCTTTTTCATCCGTGTTATGACAAAAAATTAAGAAAAACAAATTATTACTGTATAAAAAAAAATAATTTCCGTAGTTTTAAAACTTTTTTAAATTTTACCTTTTTTGTGATTTTCACCATTATCGTGGTTTCGGTATTTTATAGAATTTCGCTATTTTTAATATTTCCACCATTTATGCGATTTTTAAAATTTTCAGCATTTTTGTCAGTATAAAAATAGGAATAAATTCAGTAATTTAAAAGATTTTAAAATCTTCCATAATTTTCAGCATTATAGTGGTTTCAGCATCTTTTCGATTTTGTCATTTTCAGCATTTAAGCAGTTTTCTAAATTAGCGATTATTTTCTAGGGTTTCGCCAATTTTGCAATTTGTGTTGTTTCGCGATTTTTGCCTTTTTTGTGAGGTTGGCCATTATCGTGGTTTCGGAATTTACTAAATTATAGCGGTTAACACTATTTTCGTGATTTCTCATTATAAAAAAATTGGAATAAGTTAAATAGTGTACCGAAAAGGTATACCTGCTTGGGTTAACTGGAAAGGTACACCTGTATTTATTTTTAATTTATTTTTTTAAGTTTCATTTGTTATTTATTAATTTATTTATTTCATTATTTATTTATGAAATTCACAACTATAAAAAAACAAATATACAATTAAGTAAATGTGGTACATAGTAATAAAATGACATGAGAACACTTTTAAGAAACCACCCGTTGGTAGATCTCTAATAAAATTTCTAAATTAAGAGATTATGAGGCCAATTTCTTTTAAGATGCCTCGGAGGATTACCAATGATCGAAGAGAAATCAAGGTTAGAAACAAGAGGATTTGGATGGCCATCAGGTTTATTATGGAAGGATAGGTATCTGGATGGGACAAATCTGAAACATATGGAGTATTAAGATCTTTATGGATTATTACAGAATGTGAGAAAAATACAACGCAATGTGATAAATATACAACAGGATGTGAGAAAAATACAACAGAATATGAGAAAAATACAACAGAATATGTGGATGATTCTATTAAATAATGTAAGAGTTTTAAGGAAGTTTATAACAGTCTTCATATTTGATTCATCATTATTTTATATAGCTGAAATATCTGGTCTAAGAGATAATCTATTTAAGCTTGTGGTGTAATAGGTGCTTTTCTGAAAAATATGGCTGACAGTGAGAGGGCTATTGCAGTATTGGCATGTTGGAGATGGTTATTTATTGATAAGGTATAAATGAATCAAATCTGTATGACCTATTCTCAACCTAGTCTAGGCGACTTCTTCTCTGCAATATTCGTACCAAAGAAGTATGAGTTAACCTGAGAATTTTGACGGTTACACAATGCCAAATTGCATTAATATACTTAAGGTGATTACATTGCGGCAAATAAAATGGCTTGTAAAATTGTTGAGCTTAGTAACGAAAGAATTCCTAAAAAAAAAAAAAAAATAGCACTGTGCCGACTGGTAAACATTCGAGGGGTAACTTAAAGCGAAGAAGAGAAGATTACATTAAGGTTGATCTTGCAGGACTGGATTTGGATGGTGAGCAATGGTGGGAAGTGTGTAAAAAGCGATTGGTGTGCTGTCGGCATCGGACCTTCGGGTTCGTTAAGCCTTTTATTATTATTAGTTACTTTACTTAATGTTTACTTTTCCTTAATTTAATGTATCAAACCTTTTAGCCAAAAGTAATCTTTGTTTTTATTTGATTTTGTTATTCTTGAGGGACTTTGTCTCAGAATAAATTTATTTTTGTATTCTATTCTGACGCTAAACATCTAGTATGGCGTTCATATCATGCACTTTTCATTTATCACATTTCTGCTCAAATAGGGCTGGGTTCACGGTACTTTAAAGTAGCAAACGAATCCACATAACACATGTTATGAGTAAACTTAATCAATAGTTATGAGTAAAGTTAAATTGCCTATGTAAATCCAGAAGCTTTCAACTCACTTTATTTTATTTTTTATCACAAACCTAATTTTATCCAGCACAAAATATTTCAAAAGATAGATAAAAAACTAGCCATATTGTGGGTAGATTCTTTTTATTTTAAATAAAGAAAAACAATTTTTTTTCAATTGAGAGATTGATATAATATATACTAAGAATGCAAATAAAGTGACTGCCCTATCCCTGAATATTTTTATTCTATTGGTGCTTTATGACAGTGGATTATTCGTTAATAAATTATTAGAAGAAAATTTCTTACTTGCTGAACGAGTGACACTGCTTTTTCCCTCGTGAAGCAGCCTGTGCTTTTGAGAAGAGCCAAATGCTCATTGATGTTTCTTTGGCATAATGGCGTAGCTAGGAGTATAAATCGTTCGGTATCGACACAATGAGTAAACGGTACCAAGAATTCAGAGTAAACATACAATAATCTCCTCATTAAACTATGTATCTTCCAAGCCCTCATTCGTAAAGCAATGGAACCATTTTGTGCAAGTCTCTTTACTACTAATGGTTTCCCAGCTACAAAAGATAAACAACAACCATACTGTTTAATAATGCTGAAAATAATTGAAAATTTGTTATTTACATCTTACAATTCAGGTCCAATGCAAGGGTAACCGACCCAAATGAACCTCCATGTTCCATCAGGAAGTGCATTTGCAAATGTGGTGGTGGCATTATGATATCTTTAATCAGAACTGATCTTACACACTTCAATGTTGTTATGTGCTTTGAATATCTTTTCTTGACAAACTCTGTTTGTCTGAAACCCAATTTAAAATATAAAGATTAAAAAATGAAAAATAGAAACTAAAAACTTAAAGCTGAATTTGGATAAAGTGAATCAAAAAAGTAATGCCATAGCTTAGTGGTTTTCACTGTTTCGGTAATATTATAAATTATTTTTATGTATGAATATTAGAGTGAAATCAGAAATAAGATTTATTGAAGAACATAGATTCCTTAAATTATTATATATATATATTTGTTTTTTGTCGCCTCAACTCTGCAGGGTCATTGGCAACACATTTAACTTAAACTCAGTTCTTTAGTTTCACTATTTCAAAAAATCAAAACTTTTCTTTTACTGTTTTCCATGTTACTCAGATTTTCCTTTTTTTCTTTTTGTTGCCAATTATGCTGCTACATTTTCCACACTTATTTTCTAAAAAGTCTTTAACAGGGACTTTATTAACTGTTAAAACTGGATTTTTTTTCTGGCTTTCTATCCATATGGTTAGCCAAAGTATTAAGGGACCCAGATGAACATTATTCTTTACTCTTATATCTTAGCAGCCACCAAATTTATCTTATTGCTCTTGCTAGAATAAGTTCTAGTCTGTTTTTTTTTAATGGCAAGTACTGCACTCATCCAGCCTATTACCACAGCCTAATTAACAATATTAAAATTAATTAGATTAAATAGTAATACTATCCAAGGTGAAAGAAGTATTGGCACAATAGTATATTCTTTACTTATTGCAGCATAGTAAATAAAAACATTTGATCCTTTAATTCTATGGAGTTCTCAGATATTTACAAACAATAAAAATGTCTCATGACCATTCTAGATTGTTTTTTCACTTGTACTAGATGAGTTGAAATGGTAAAAACTAAGGAACACTATGCACAATCCAGAAATAGAATACTGAAGTTGCATTCTTAGGAGTTTAGTTAACGCCAAATCGGGAAAAAAAACTAAGTATCTGCTTCAAAACAGAGTGAAAAATCTCTAGCAAATAGTTCAGTTGTGAATAAACAACGATGAGAGAAAAAAACAAAACAACTGTTTAAGTGAAAGTACCAACTTCTTGAGTTGATTAATCAAAAAAATAAAAATAAGAACAACCATGTCATTATTTTACAAAAAAGCTTGTGCATTTTCAATGTTCATTAAAATTTAAAAAAATTATTCTATGCAAAAAGGAAAAAATGGCATTTCAATGTACTTGACTACATTTGTGCATACAAGTATATTAAATAATATTTTAGTCAAACTCACCGCCAGTTTTGGTGATATATTTCTTTTAACTTGGATAATTGTAGCTGAATGAAACCAGGGGGTGGGAATGGAGTCTTTGATGGAAAATTTGGAGTTTCAGCGACCATCCAAATTTCCAGTTGCTCTTCCACATTTTTATCAATCTTTAACGATTCAGCATTTGAACATTTTGTATTACAAGGTTTTTCTTCATTTGTGGAGCCAACAGATATTTCTTTGTCTTCCTTTTCGTGGATATTTGTACTGTCTATTTCTAGGCATATTCCATCATTATTTTTTTCAACTGATGTGCTTACAAATCCAATTTTTAATGCCTCTGATTTTTCATAAACATCTTCTGAATTAACTGTGGTAAATTCTTCAGTGACTTGAGTTTCATTAACTTCTAACTGCAATGATGCTTCCTTGATTAAATTCTGTTCTTGTAACTGATTTGGTGTCGGAACACATATCTCTTCTAAGGAGCATTCATTTTGAGGTTCACATTCTTCTTCATTCTGTTGACTTAAAGATTCTGTTGAATTAACATCATCATCATTTATTGAATTACAATATTTCTTAATTTTTAAATGCATCTCTTCTTGGTTTTCACGGATAAATTGTTCAATTGAAATAACTGAATTACTGTTTCCCTGATCGATGTCTTGATCCGAGGAAAGGGAGCTCTCCCTGTCTTGAGTTTTCATGAACTGTATTTCATTTAAACCTTCAGTAAAGTTCTGTAAAAATGTTTTAAGATCTGGAATGATTTTGTCTCCACTTTCTGGCCATTTAAGCCTCAGAGTGTTACACAAATCTTTCCACTTCTGGGTTACTTCTGACCAGTGATACATCTCCATATTTGGAAGGGCATACATCAGTTTAAGATAATCTTTAATGCCGCTATCAACATCTTCATACCCATGAATAAAATCTTCTTGCCAAGAAACTTCAAAAATGTTAAGTACATTATCAAATAAACTATCTAGCTCAGAAATCTTTAATTCTACCTCTTTGTTCGTGCAAACTTCCTCAGACATCACGTCACCATTTCCAATTTCTTTATCATATTTCTGAATATTGTTTTCTATATTAATTCCAAACAGCTGGCATCCCTCCCTAAACTCTTCTCTCCATTTCGGATATATGGTTAGGTCTTCAGTTTCCTCTTCTATTTCAAGTTCACTTTCTTCAGTTTTGGTTTGCACATCAATGATTTTATCTAAAGGCCAATAAGTCTCTTGTGGTGTATTAGGTTTGTGATCTTCTGGATTTATTGTTCTTTCTTCTTTCTTTTTATTGCTAATTACAGCTATTATAATGTTTTCTTCTTTATTTGACTGTTTTTTGTTTTCATCTGGTTTGAGTGATAATTTATCTGCTTCCGAGCTGTTTTTCTTAAAAAAGTTAACACTTTGTTGTGAATTATTTTTTTTATCAAGTGCTTTATCTTTTTTTTTCTTTGTTTGTTTCTGCTCCTGTTGAATTATATTTCCTCTTTGTAGCTGTCCGATCAATTGTTTGAAATGCAATGAACATTTCCGGACCATTTGAGAATGAGCTTCATTAGGATAAAAATTATATTCAGATTGAACACTTTGGATCTGAATATATTGTCGATAATGATGGCTTAGGGATTTGAAATTTTTCTGTAGCCACAATTTGGTCATGGGGTGCTTGCAAGTTAAAAATAGAGGTAGAAATGTGGCATGCAGTGAAGGAGAATTTCCAAACCTGTATACAAGAAAGACAAATAATAAGTTAAAATCATTCCAGAGAATATAATTTAATGATATATAAAACATTATACCTTTTTTGCAAACGCAAACAAACACATGGAATTCCAGCTTCATTAAAAGCTAAAGCAACATTCTCCCATGGGATATGGGATGTGCAACACTCGCAGTACCGCACTAACTCAGTTAAAATCTTTAATAAGGCAATAATATAATCATTATCTTTAATATGCTTTTCTATGGCCTGAAAAATTGTTTACATATAGTGATTTTATTATAACTTTCTTTCAAATACAATATTATATAAAGATATTTAATTACTTATTAATATCAATCAAAAGTCAGATATATATGTATGTATGTGTATATACATATATATGGAATTGAAAATTTAGGTGTGCCTGATTTTTATTTATTTTCTAGTTTCATTAAGACCATTTTTGAATAAGTGCTATAATTAATTAATTAATAATTAATCTGCATATTTTTAGATGAATGGGTATATATCTATCAATAAGTTCATGAAAGGTTTTTTTATCATCATGATCCTTGTTTAAGTTAAAATAAATTACTATCTCAAAATAAGCATCTAGCAAGAAAAAAAAAAAATGGAAAAAGCAGATTGAAAAAAAAACCTACACCTTTGTTTAGTTAATTCATAATTTGAAAAATATACTGAAAATATATTCTGTTTTTTTTTTCTATCAATACCGATGTAAATGTTTTCTACATTAAGAACGTGCAAGAGATTCCCAAGTTCTCCATCATTTAAAGACACTTTCTTTTATGGAATAAATCTAAATAAAACAGTCCTATAGTATAACACATTAATAATATATCTTATATTGTGGGAGTATATTACAGGAATAAGAAAAATATATTTTTTTGCACTATTATCAGTGTTTGTCTACTTACATTTCTTACAGTTTTGAAGACATTCAGCTGAAGTAAAACAGACATCCCTTCAACAACAAAGCGTAAGAAAAAAGTGATGATATGAATGATTACTGAAAAAATTGTCTTACTGAAGTTTTCTTCAGGCGGATTAAGTAGCAACTCCAATCTTCTCTACCCAAATGCACATCATGAGAAGTAAATGAAAAGAAGAAAAAACAATTAAGTTAAGAACTGGAATTTAGTAACAGTATAATTATTACAAGGTTATACTTTTTGTAAGAATAATCTAAATATGGTATGGGATAACAATCTTTGATGTGCTAGATTAATGTAAATTATAATCTACCAAAACTGAATAAAATTGTTGAAATGTACAGTCACATAAATATGTTTAAATCTATGAAATATTTTTACTTGTTTATACTGTCAAAAATGAGTTTATTAATACATCCAAACAAAATGGACAATTTTATCAACATCCTAGTAAACAAAATTTTAATACCATTTACTTTTATGTGTTTGTCACATTAAACTTAAAACAGTTTTATTAAATTATTTATGTGAAGAGTTTAGTGAGTAAAGACTCAAGTGATGATTTTTGGTAAATATAAAAGTCTTAAACTTTATTAATATCTTTCTCATCAGGTATGTTTTTAAATTAATTTTTAGAAGATTATATTTTTTTATCTATTGTGAAATTACAAATGTTCGATTAGTCTAAATATTTAAATTTTTAAAAAGCTTGATAAATTTTTCGTTTGAACATAAAAAAAAAATAATAAAAGTGTAATGTACACAAACCTGAATGAGCAGTGGGACTGTATTCAGTACTTCATATGAATATACTATTAAGGGTCAGAACAATTTTAAAAGCCAAAGAAAGCAATACAAAACATTAATTTATCTACAACATATATAAATTGTTGAGATAAATAAATTATGAATTAAATTAATATTCCTGTTTTTTGAAGTAAGTGAAAAATTAAATCAATCAGTTGAAGCATAATGCTAACCATAAAAAGCACTCCTATTAACTACTCGTCCATACATGGAATGAAATAAAAAAATATTAATATTGAAATTTTGATTATTAAAGTAAATATCTTTATTATTAAAACCCATGTTGAAGCATTGTACCACTACACTTATTTTCGATTTGCCATATATTTTCATAAATTTCTAAATCTGCTGATTACCTTTAAGTAACATTTCACAGACAGTTTTGAATTATCTGTTCTCATAGAGGATATCATTTCCTCAATAGCAAACTCAATTGTGACATTTCGTTTCTGAATCATATATGCTATTGCATAACAACATGCTGTGCAGCCTTTCTGAAAATAATATCATTTTCAAAATTAAAATCTTTTTTTCAAATAAACTTTGTCTTTAGTATTTATTTATTTTATTTTTTTGATACATGATTCTAGAAATAAATATAGAATATTTTATAAATATTTTTACAATCATAACCTGGTCTTCCAGCGAAATGTCAGCTGAATGTGCCAAGAGGGTTTCTATTATGTTGACTTGGTGTCTTGAGCAGGCCATCATGATCGGCGTGACACCTTTATTAGTTGCGAGGTTGGGATTGGCACCATCCATGGTTATCAAATCCACTACAACCCCCCAATTTCTTTTTACTGCGAAGTGTAGTATTGTATTTCCTGTCTAGACAATATTTTTAAAAAGAATGTGGCCAAAGTCATAAAAGCTTAAAATAATTTTTCTTTTCATAATTAGATGATTATAAAGTATAATATATATTGTAATCAAATACAAACTTAAGTCTATATAATTTTTAAATTAAGATATTAAAAAATATGAAATAATTAAATTAATGGAAATAAAATAAAAGGACTCAGGCATTTGAATTAACTTCCATCATTATTTTTTAGTAATAATCACATGCTGGCTAATGTTTCGGGCAATAATCCGCATCTTCACAATTTTTGTTTCTTTGTCAGTCTAAAAGCAAGAGATAAATCATCTTCCTTACCAGTGAATTGTCATACATTAAAATATATATCATGTATTTCTAGCTCACTCTGCCTACTGTAACTGGACAAGATTGGTAATTGAGCTTTGGCCCAGTAGAGAAGATATTATTTCTTTAGCCACTGGAAATTAGAAATATCCCAATTAAATGTCCTTCGTTATTTTATTTATCTCCATGATTGCCATGGACTGCAGTTTCAAGATCTTAGAGCCCATCTTGCAGTAGCATTTTTCCTGTTCTGTTGGTATTGAGTAACCAGACCAGATCATATAATTATAGAAACCGTGCCAAAATGCAAAATGAACCAGACCTAATTTCAAACTGTAAGGTGTATGTAAAGCAAATTACATAATTTGGCACAGCTCATGTTACTGTGCCATATACCTTCCTTCTCCACTAGATGTGGAGAATGATATTCAGAGTCTCTATTTCCTTCAACATTCATGAAAAGGGCAAGAATATCTTTCCAGAACTCAGGTGAGAAATCACTGATCAGCAAAAGAAAAATGATAGCAGCTGTTATTAACATAGTCACATCTTTTCAGATGGATAGTATTGAAACACTTTGGATGCATTTACCTATATCTTTTAACAAGAAAGAAACACCTTGAATGTATTTAGCTATAGTTTTTAGTGGGCCAGTCTCAGCTTGAACGGTTTGTCTCATGGTATTATGTCTGGTTTGGGGTGGAGGTCCTGCCATACTGCATCCAGTTATTACTGGGTCACTCCTCTCTTCTCATTCAGTGAAGCTTTTCCATTTTAAATTTTATAAGGATGTAGGCGATATGTTCAAAGTCTTCTCAGTTCATTTTCATTTAGATCATATTTTAAGTTACTATTTCACATAACTTCCTTCTCCACATGATGCTACTTTGGATGCCATTCGGAGCTCTACCTCCTCCAACATAGATGGCAAGTTCAAGAATATTTTCCTAGAGCTTAGTTGCGAAATCACAGATAAGAAAAATAAAAATGATAGCAGCCAAATCTTTTCAGAAGAACAGCAAAGAAATTCTTGAATGTATTTAGCTGAAGTTTTTAATGAGTCCGTACTTCAACACAAGCGAGGCTTTTCAGAAAACTGTTGATGCTATCAGGTACTGATCACAGGATACTTAAAAACTATTGCTATATTTTTCTATTTACTGAATGAATATATTTATTAATGGTATAAAGATGGTTGACCGTGGATTCTAATTTTAGATTCTAATTAGTCGGGGGGAGGGGGTGTGGTAAAAAAAATACTATATTATATAATAGTATATTTTGACTGTACCTCCTCCCCCCTCCCCTAACTAACTTCTGAAAATATGATCTACTAGTATGTACATGTACCACTAACAACCAGAGATGGGTAAAATGCTACCCTGAGTACCGAGTACCAAGTATTTTGCTCAAATCGAATCACTTTTGAGAATTCAACCACTACTTCAGTTAGTCGTTTGAAATCAACTGAAGTAGTAATTAAATTCTTTGGTACTCAAAAAAGGCCAGTATTTGAGTAAAATACTTGGTAATCAGTACTTAGAGTAGCATTTGCCCATCACTATTAACAACCCATGAATTCTCGGGTTCAGTACTACAATGTGAAGAAAGACTGGTACAATGCCTATGGTCGTGCAGGCAGGTGATGAGCTGATATCACGCTCAACCACCAGGTTTTTCTCTTTAATTAAAGGTACCCACTTTATAGAGGCTGGGTGTGCCCCAGGAGGGCCTCCTGGCCCCAGAATCGATCCACAGCTGATGAAAAATTACTAGCCATCAGCTGGATTCGAAACTGGGACTATCAGCTCTGGAAGTTAGTGCTCACCCACTGAGCTACCCCGCTCCAATTATTAGCATGTAAACAGTTCTTTATTATTATTTATTTATTGTTACAAATGACCATCAATTTATTTGTTAGCAAATCCGATTATGGTCAATATACAATTTTAAAGAAATATGGGTACATCTAAAGATTTACAGGTTTCTTCAAATTCCCACCTAAACTAAATTCGACATCTTTTAGTTTTAAAAAACATTTCAATCTTTTTGATCTTCTCCCTACCCAAGTTTTTTAAAAATGTTGCTTCTTCCTCCGATGCTAATTCATATTCTCTTTTATATTTCCTGCATCTAAACAGTATGTGCCTAGGGTTGTCTGGCTCTTTACAGATTTCACAAATTTGGCCTTTTTCAATTCCCATAAGAGTAAGATATTTATTGGTGCACCCGTGGTAAGTCCACAGTCTTTCAATCTGTACTATACTTTTTCCCTTAAGATGCAGATTCAGAGCAAACCAAGAAATAAAATCTCACAGTTGGCTGTACCTGGTAATAGTCTCTCTCTTATGATTGTGATTCACAGTCGTACCTATTTTTCTATTCTTTTACCACTTCTTTCTTTAGTACTCTTAAGAGATACATCATGGGTATGTCTTAGTTTTTTAATTTCATTAACAGCTTAATTGAAGTTTTACTTAAGAAATAATCTGAACACATAGGTTTTTAGTAGTACACATAGGTTTTTAATTAAAATGCCTATCTTGATGAATTAGTTTGCAATTATTAAGTTTTTCTTAACAAACAACCTGAATAGTAAACATAGGTTTTGTACATGAATATCTTAAATTTTTTTTTACATTACAATGAACAAATATCTAACCCTTTAGAAAAGCCTAATTTATACAATATTTGTAGATTAAAGAATGACAAGAAGCTATGTATTTTTTACACTATACCTTATTGGAGTGATTAATGTTAAACCCTGAATCTTTAATGATATTCCATATGTCCAGGAAGAGATCTTGGGTCCAGCTCTTGGTACTGGCAGCGGTCATCAGAGCAGTGTTTCCTTCACTGTCAGCCATGTTCAAGTTGGCCCCTCTTTTGATAAGAAGCTTGGCCATTTCCCGGTGTTTTAGACGAACCGCCCACATAAGGGGTGTGACTCCATCCTGTTTAAATTAATAAAATCTAAAATATTATACATTTAACGAAATATATATTCTTTATATCACTTCTATATTGAAAAAAAAATAATACATTAAACTTATACATAGTCGGCGAAAGTATATGTATAACCACGTTATGGTTGGTTATTTTATTTCTGAGCAAACAATAACACAATAGTTGTTAATTGGTCGTGTTTTTGTTAAAATAATAGAGTAATGCATTTATAAGTAAAGTCTCAGAGGGAATATGACAGAGCTGCATTTTTGGGCAGATATGATTTTTATTTTTTGTTCATAATTGTTATTCTTAAGGGACCTTGTCCCAGAATAAAGTCTGTTTTCTATTCTATTATATTATATAGCACAGAAAACAGCTTTTTATACTATTAAGAAATCGAATAACCTTCGAAGAAAAATTTCTTGAGTATCAACATAATCCGTTCTTATTATAAAAAAAACAACAACAAATAAATAAAAAAATGTACTGAGTTAAAATTATTTGTGTCGGAAAATAGATGGATGGATAAAAAAATACTTTTTAATTCTAATTATACAGTTATTTAATTTATACAAACTTACTTACCTCCTTACAACTGTCTATTGAAAAGCCATCTTTCAAAAGTTTTTTTACAACATCAAACTTGTTAAGAACTACAGCACCCAAAAGTGTCTGGGAGTCATCCTGTCAAACGATAATACATTTATTCCACCCAGTCAAACCTATATAAAATAATCCTGTATTAACTCTAACTTTTTTTTATTTAATAATCAATGCTATAATTGTAAATTTAAAGAATCATGTTGTTATCATTTTGTTAACAGAGGCGGATTACGCGGTAAACGGCGCATAGAGCCCTCTAGGGCGGTAGTAAGGCGGTAAACATCTTAAAGATTTCGAAAATTACCAAAAATATTTAGAACATTTACATGAAATGATAGAATAATTCTAACAACAAAGTATTAAATTTATTTTCTCTAAGTTTACTGTTAGGATGAACGCGTCAGTTATGGACATGGGATCCCTTTAGTGTTGCCCAAATGCGAGACCAAGACGAGTCATGGTCTATCAAACTCAGTCTTGGTCTTGCGCAAGAGTCTCTCAACAGTCTTGCAGTTACTTATTAGCTTATTACTATAAAGATATTACTGTAATTTTTAGATAAGAGAAACCTAACTAAGCCTGAATGAAAAATTAGAGGAGTTAAATGCAAAAGTATATTGGTTATATCAATTATTGACATATAGAAACTAAAATTGTGGAGTATTAGTAACTATTTTGCCTTAATTTTTTACTAAAAAATCAATTTTTTTTATCAGTCCTGGTCTTGGTCTTGCAACAGTTAGGCAGCCTTGGTCTTACAAAGTGCAAGACCAAGACCGATTTCGGGCAACACTGGATCCCTTGATGGACAGGTTGGAATTTAAATGTAAATAATAAGCTTCCTTGTTGATTTAAAGGTTCCAGTTTTTTTCTAGATTGAAGAACAAGGCCCTCTGTTGACAACTGTATGAATAAAGTTCCCAAAAGAAAATTTTAAAATGCCTATCATTGTTGTTTATATAGTAAATTTTATAATATTTCTGAAGCATGTCCATTACTGGTACCGACCCTCTGTCTAGAACAATTGAATTTAGGGGTGTCCATCATTAGTGCAAAATGATGTTTTTTTTTTAATGGAGATTACACCTGTATAACGGATTACACCTGTATAACTGAATTTTTTTTAATACTTAATATTTAATATTTTTTCAATTTTAAAGTGTTAAATAGTAAAAGGCGACCCTAGAGATTCTAAATGTCCAATAGAGAATATAATAACTATAATAATTACGACGGCATAAACCAAACAAGACAAAAATTTCCTTAGGAAGATCCATCACTGGTGCGCTTATCCTAATGTGCTTTTTGGATTTTCGATGGCTCCCGAAATATTTACAGCTTATGATCTCTTCCTTCTCGTAATCTGCCTCTAGTAGTTAATTGTTTCGATTGAAAAGAAAGTAATTTAAATCACTGGTGGTTATCTACAGCTTTACTTATCACGTTCATACTCATTGCCTAAACATTAATTTAAGGTTTCTGGTATCAACAATATAAGGATCCAAGGGAGGGGTTGGAAGAACTTTCGGGCTGAAGCCACCAAAATAGAAAAATGGCTTAAAAGCAATAAAAGAATTTATAAAGAAAAAAAAATTACTTGCCCATATTTGTTTCTTTAAGAAATCTAAGCTAAATAATTAAACAATCAAAATATCTTTTTTTCTCATAAATTCAAGGCCATTTTCCATCAATGTTTTATTAATTTTATAATGAAAAATAAGTTTATTCTGGAACTGAAGTTTCCTTAGAATAATAGCAGAGTTAAAAACATACGTACATTAGTTTTGCATGTAGATATAATACAAATATATACAAAAAATACGAAGGAAAACACAAATTTATACAAGAAATAATGAGAGAGAGAAAAAGAAGTGAATAAATAAAAATAAAATTTCTGCTATCAATTAATTTACGGACGTGGTTTGACCTATGGAGGTGGGTAAGATGTTCCCAAAAGGGGGTTACACGAATGAAGAAGGATTTGCTGAAGAAAGAGGTTTTATGGTAGAGAATATATAAATCTATGGGTTGAGATCTGGTGCTGAGAGAGTGGATAGAGGAGTGTAAAGTAAGGAGTTCTAAGATGTAGGGAGAGTTTTTGGTCCTTTAACTCGGTGTATCAACAGGAAACATGAGAACATCTGGGAATCCCAAAGATGAATCTTATAATATCATTTTTTACTAGGTTTCGGCCAGTGCCGTGCGTCATTTTCAAGTCAAGGTGTGTTGTAACGAAATTTTCTGGAGTATAATGAGAAATTCTTCCAAAATAAAAATGTCTGCCATTGGTGGACAATGACATTGAATTCATGAAAAATGAAAACCTCGTGACACCAAATAAAAAAAAAAAAAAGGCAAAATTAACAGAATAAAATCAAAATATTCTTTTTAAACAAGAAGTATACACAGGTATTAAATGTATGGCATGGATCTATAAAAAAAAAAAATTGTTTCTGTAATTACCGTTTTGACTTATTTATTATTATTAATTTTCTAAGAAAGGCCTTTAAAGACCACTTAAACGTCATTTCATATAGTATCTTTTTCTTCCAGAGTAATTACGGTTTAAAAATAAAATATGAAATAAAACCCTTATTGGTCCCACGACAGCTTTTTTTTTTTTTAATTTAACGACAAGTTATTAACAAATGCGTTACATTCTAGTTTTTTATCAAACCAGAACTTTATTTTTTGGTTTTCTGGTTCAAAAAGAAATCGGCTACGGGCCTCAAATAACCAAGGCACGCTATTGTATAAATGCGATGCATATACACGCTAAATTTTAATGAAAATCACGATTTCTTTTTACAGTTTGAGCCATAAAGAAATAATTAGGTTAAAGATGGAAGTTTATCGACTGTTCCACATATCATGTGTGATAAATATTCAGGATGCAGTCATTATAAAGTTTTTATTGGTGCCGACGTTTCAACCCAAACATGTGAGTCATCATCAGTGCCTGTTTCGAGCACTGAAGGTGTTCAAGTACTCAAGTATCCAGTACTTGAATACCTCCAGTGCTCGAAACAAGCCCTGATGATGACCCACATGTTTGGGTTGAAACGTCGGCACCAATAAAAACTTTATATTGACTGCGTCCTGAGGTTAAGGTGTAAAATGTTTTACTTCCATAAAAATAAATACCGTCATTCCAAGACGCATTGTCAAGTTTTAAGGACCAATAGCGAGATTTTACTAGGCGCAATCTTACATTGTCTCCAGATCGGTCAGTGGCCTATTGATGTTTGTGAATATTATATCCTTCAATAAAATTTTTTTTTTTTTCATTTCTTACATCCACTAACGGCAGGTAAATTTAGAAATTCTCACAAACTTTTAGTTTTTCTACAATTAGATGGAACTTGGATGGAAATGGGAAGCATTCACTATATTTTTGCAACGAAACATTCATAAATATTGGTGAAGAACAAATATATACACATTCATTGTCCCAATTTAATTATTGAAAAATATCACAATTTACTTAACTATCCAATTATTTTATAATTTGTTTTGTCGATATTTATTATTTTATATTCGATCATTTATCTCCTTTCAATGATCAAAACAAATTCGAGCCCCAAGATTAAAATTATTTAAAATATGTAAAATTTCAACATTCGATTATATATTCATCTCAATTAAAATTTGTTCTTGATATTTTGATATATTTCACATAATATTCGATTATTATATGCATCGATATTATTATTCGATAATTACTAACCTACTTATTTCAAGGGTTAAAAGTATTTAGGCTCGATATATAAATATATTGTTTCAATACACCGTTTTATTTAAATTATTTTAGCACTTTTCCTTTATCGCCATCGCCTCAATCCGGCTAGCACGGATTGGTTTTTATATCGATTCAAAGCTCCGAAGAAGGTGCCTAGAAGAGGTTTCGTGGCACCATCAAAAGTTTAGAGGGAGGTAAATTTTGACAGGGTTTTAAATTTTTGAGGGGGACACATTTCGTTTGGATCGTATATTTTCGAGATGAAAAGTGTCAGACCAGAGGATAAGGAGACAACTTGGGACAGACTGCATCAAGTGTCATTGTTTATGATCTTTTTTTTGTTTTTGGACCTCTCCTTCCTCGCCATTAAGGCTATACGGGGTTTTCCCGGACTAGGGGGTGAGGGCGGGGATTTAAAAGACTCCACCAGCACCGGGACGCGAACTCGTGACTATTTTTATCAGGTTATCTGTTTATCAGGTTGCCGGGCAACGGCGGTGCTGTGCACATACGTTACCCCATTCGGCCACCCCGCCCCTCATTGTTTATGATCTAAAAATCTACTCTGTTTTTTACTTGCTTGCTCTGTTTTTTAGAAAGAGGAAAATAATAAAATGTTTTGGGAGGGAGGAAAGAGGAAATAGGCATCTCTGGAGCTCGATTGCTGAATAACGAAGTATTTAAGTGTAGATGAAAAAGGATAAGAAATTAATTAAGATAGAAATGGAGAGATTAGAACAAAATCCACTAAAATAACCCGCAGTTTGATAATGAAAATTGACTAAAATGGTACATAATTGTCAAATAGAATAAAGAAAAAAAAAAGAAATGTTAATGACGTGAAGAAGGTAAAATAAAAATTAATTGAAAATACATTTTAAATAAATATAGAAAAAAATGTAACAATGTTATAACGTATGATGTTCTAGCAATGCAAATGAGAGGTCTCTGATAATAGACAATGAGTCCGAAACGTTCGACAGATGTATGTAGAAAAATGGGAATTATTTAAAATAAATTGGCATACACGGAAGGAAAAGTTTCAATACCTTATACCTGAAATTAATAAGTTATTCTCAGTAATAGGTATTTTCCTCAATCCATCTAACAATAGCCGCTCAATTATATTTACACCGAACAGAATTAAGTCTGAAGTTTGTGAAATAAAATACACTTCACGATATAAATTCCACTATAAATCCAAAAGACATAGTTGCTTGATACCAGAATCACTCCTTATCGCTAAAGTCTTCTAATAAAAATCAATGCGAAGTTATGCTATGACGTTCGTTGCTGTTATGATACTAACGCTTTGTTAAGTTTTCAAACCTTCAAAAAGTTCTACAGCTTGAAAGGTATATAAGGAATATTTAACGTGATAGTTAACATTACCGGCTCCGGTACTCCTAAAATGCCCGCGATTTCTTGAATCTCTTCCCCCTTGAAGACAACAGCGATCGGCTGGAACTTCTTCTCTTCCCGCCTCCTAGCGCTCGTGTACCCGGACTCCGCGGTTCCTCTTTTTCTACCTTTCTTCTTGTTCGCATTCTTACTCCGGGTCATCACTCCCTTAAACAGTCCAAAAATAAGTATTTTCAATTCATCTATATAAGGACTTATAAAAACTGGCATCAAGAATAACCATATCAGAGAAAAAAAAAATTATAATTTGGAATCACCTGAACCGAAATTGGCAGGTTCGAAATCATATGGGCAGTTTCCACTGTGAAATGAAAACGTACTTGTTTACGTTATTTATCAAATATTAAAAGAAAAAAAAAATCACTGCTGAAGATTATAATGTGTATAGTAAATATGATAGCTATATCTGTAATAAACTAGATAGTAATTGGCTCAACTATCAAATATTTACATTAGTGATAAAATGAAACAAAATATTTTCTATTGTGTCTTTCCCTCTCAAGGACGTTTATGTTATTTCAAATTTCGAGATAAATATGATGGATTCCTGATTACAATTGAGATCATCTGAATGATTTTTGTGTTATGTGGATGTCGTGATTCAATCTTTCTTGCAGGATTAAGGGCAAGCAAGGATAAGCGATATACATAATAATGTACACTAGTGTTCGCCAAAAAGTCGAAATTCGACCGAAATTATTATTTAAAATTTAAGGAAAATATATAAGAATTTGTATGTTTCCAACATTGTTTTTTCTACTGTTCTACTTTTTTCTATATTCGTACATACACTTTAATATGTACTTAAAATATAAAATAGTTCAATACCATTTTTGTACTTCTTTAATTATTAGCAAACAATATTTTGAATTCATCGCAACTGTTCTTTCAGCTTGTTCTTGAGACAATATGTTATGTATATAAATTAAAAATACTTCAAGGAGATTGTTGAAGACTTGAGCCAATTTTCATTAAAATCGTTTCAGTCGTTATCTCGCTATATTATATAGAAACACAAGTTTTTTCGGACATTTTGAAACCTTATGATGTTCCGCATGTTAATGATATGTATATAAAACATTCCTCAGTTTTTGATGGCAATGTTGTATCATAATTTCAAAGCAATCAGTGACGACCTTACGGAGGTAAACGGTTTGAACAAGCTAAAAAAAAATCGGTTGAGAAACAGAGGAGAAAAAGTTACTGAAATGTTTTTCCTTTGCCTATTTTTATAAACCATAAATACTAAATAAACTATAATTAAGATTTTGATTATTATAAGCAATATAGCATTATCAAGAAAGTCTATTCAACTCCATAATTAATAATTGAGAATATTGAAGCAACAGTTTATTTAATAAGTAATTAGCTTGTCTTGTTGCAAAATATCCCTTCAGTTCAGCAGTTGTGCATTTAGACTCAAACACCCTTAAATTTAAGGAACGTTATTTTCCTACTCGCTTAGCTATATTGCGATGGTGCAGAGGAGTTCCTCGGTTTATAGTTTTTTTGAACTATTAAGAATGGAGTATAGAAGCCAGAACTAGAGAACTCGATTACCGATTATGCGATATTAAAAAACAAGAAAATTAAAATATCTTCTCAAAACTTGTTTACTTTTATTAAAGACATCTCTAAAAGCTTCTTTCCATTTTAATAGAGGTACCCGAAGGACAGTGGAGAATACAGGAATTTCTGAGCTCCCCCCTCATCATAAAGAAGTGAATTTCACCAAACATACAGGATGTCGAGTAAGTAGAGGCACTAGCGAATCTAGGAATTAATTTTGAGGGTGCTTCAGCACGAAAGATTTTTTTTTTCTCTCTCTATACAGGGTGTTTCGTAATTGCACGGCATTATTTTAGGTATGTGTTCACTAACACAAAATGAACAAAAAAGTTCATATTAACATACATCTGAAATTCATTTATTAAACAGATATGAAAGGTAAAAGATTTATTATTTATTTGCTACATTAAGACAGATTGTACAAAGTTTGGCGTGTTTCATACTAAATAACAGGTTTTAATCACCTGATAAACAAATGAACGATGAGCAATGACAGTTGTTGCTCATCTGTTTGTCTAGTTCTGTGTGTTTTAATGTAAGTGAACATTGTGACCCAGTTCAAATTATGATTATCATGGAAGACACCATAAATTTATCCACTTTTGCAGAACAGACAGATATGCTTTTAACTTATGGCGAGGTTCATAGAAACGGTGCCGCTGCTGTTCAAAGATATTGTGAAAAAAATCCTAATCGCGGATTATCAAATTGTAAAACGTTTGAGGTCATTGAGATAATGGCACGCTAAAATATGTACGAGTAAACGCCGGTCGACAAAGATTTCGACGAACTGCAAACGTTGAAGAAGAAATACTCGACGCTGTACAGTTATCTCATACTACTAGTACCACAAGATTGTCACGTCGTTTCGATGTTTCCTCTACCAGCGTATGGCGAACTTTACGCGAACAACAATTGTATCCATTTCACTTATCGAGTAGGCAAGATTTGTTACCATAAGATTATAACAAGCGCAGAAATTTCTCCCAGTGGTTAATTCGATAATTCACACGAATCCTAACTTTCTGAACTGCATTTTGGTTACTAATGAATCTTGCTTTACAAGAAACGGGAATTTTTCGAAATACCTAAACTTGGGCGGAAGAAAATCCACATACGACTGGTGTTGAACATTACCAACATACCTTTTCTTGTGGTCTCCTAAGCGGTAAGTGATTCCCAAAGTCCTGTAAAATGTAATTAAACGAACAATAATACTTTCAGAGATAATTTTTTAATATTTTTTTCATAAAACATGGATATATTTTACCATTTTGGGGAGGAGAAGGGCTTCTTCAGTCCCAAACTCCCCTCCTCTCCCGTGGTGCTGAATGTTGCATTCAACAAAACGGGGGCCTCTTTGAACAGTTATTGTGAACAGTTGTAATAATAATAATAATCAATAAATAGTAATAACAGATAATAAATTTTTAACCTTTGATATCTGTTTAATAAATCAGTTTGAGATGTTTGTTAATATGAAATTTTCTGTTTATTTTGTGTTAGTGAACACATATCTAAAATAGTGCCGTGCAATTATGAAACTGTATATAATTACTTTGGAAGGAATAGAAATATACTAACTATCTAAAAGAAATGGTGTTCAATCGATTCTTGAAGTCCTATTAAATGTAATTAACGAACAATAATACTTTTTATAGATAATTTTTTTTGTAAGACGTGGATATATTTCATCATTTTGGAGATGAAAAGGGGAGGGGGGTTCTTTAGCCCGAAACCCTCCTCCCGTAGATCCGTCTGTGAGTAGAGGGAAATTTTTATAGGAGCGATGCAAGACCTCAGGGGATACAAAAAAGTTTATACAAACAATGGTCAACAGGAAAGTTGGAAATTAAGGTTTTTTTTTTTTTTTTTTTTTAAGTAAGCCACGTTTTTTGATGAATAGGAAAACGTTTTTTGATGAAACATACAAAATTGTGTTAATTTAAGTAATTACAAATTATTTCTCTGTTTACTCGACAAAACTTGCTCCAAACGATAGTAGAAAGTTTACCTTGTTAAAACCATTTAAAGAGGACTTTTGAGAGTCTAAACTGAGCCAAGTTCGGTTTTTAAAAAAAAAACATAAATTATTCGCGATTTTTTTTTTCATCCTCCAACTATATTACAGATACCCCAACAATAAAAAAACTTTATCTTTTAATAAACTTTAAGCCTATATTAATTAAATTGAGATTTATTGGGGCAACAATGGGCCATTTTTTAGCAGAAAAGTTATTCAAGTTCTGTGTTTTTTTAGGTAACTCGTTTTTTTGTTGAATAGGAAGCGATAACTATAAAAATATTTAATTTAAGTAATTAACAATTACCTCACTGTAAACTAGACAAAATTTACTTTAAATAAAAATAAAGTTTGTCATTGACAAAAACATTCAAAGAGTTTTGAGCGGCCAAACTATGCTAAGTTCAGTTATTAAAAAAAATCATAAATTATTTCCAATTCTCTTTTTATTAAAACCCTACTATACCACACAGAGGTTCTAAGAAGGGGGTTTCATGGCTAAAGTTGAGCCTTCAAAATGTTTGTGGGGGACACATCCGAACGGGTTTTGAATTTTTGAGGGGGGGCAATTTCAACTGGGTTATAACTTTTCGAACTGTAAAGTTTCAAAACAATAGGCATGAAGAAGCATGGAAGTTACTACATGATGTGTAATTGTGTATAATCTACGATTTTTAAATTAAACTTTCACTTGCTCTCATTTTAAGAGGAGAGCAATAAAATTTCTTGAGAAGGGTGGGGAAAGGTTTGTCCCTTCGACTTTGAGGGTTATGGGCACCTCTGATACAACAGATGCCTCACTTTTAGAAAAACTTCCTAATTTAATAATCATTATATCCATAATTAAATTGAATCAAGGTTTATCGGAAAAAAATTTGAGATTCACCTCAAATAAACAAATGATGTGATTTCATATGCTGTACCCTAAAAGTGTTTTCAGCAAAAATAGCTACAATAAATTGTTGCAAAAGCTTTTATTTCTTGTTTTTCCATGATTTCGGGTGGATTATTATTAACATAATTGCCTAAATACACTTTTTATTTATTAAAACAATATTAAAAATAATGATTTTTAAAATGTTTATGTAAAGTGGTTATGAAACTGGGTTTTTCATACAGATTTCCATTATAGGCATTGATGAGCATTTATAAGCGATAAATTATTTTTTTAGTTATAAACTAATGTTTCTGATAGCTTCATTAATAGTTTCATCTCATCTAAGCTACAGATATTTTATATAAGAAAATTTCGGAATCAGGGCGTTTTCAATCTGGAGGTCGGAAAACTTTTTCTATTTAATTAGGTACTAAAAACTCGTAAATACCCATTTGGTTTTCACTTGGATCGTATGATATTTTGATCACAAAAGTCTTGGCCTATATAACCTCGTTATTTTGGCAATTTGGGTATGTAGGTCATGCCAAACGGTTAAAATAAAAATAATTAGACAAAAATAGGTGGTTAGGGACTATATTAAACATGGGAGTACTTACCAATGGGTAGTTACTCTACTATTCTTTTCACATACTGTTGTATTTCTATAATATTTTATTCTAATTATTTCCTATTTAAATTTAAAATTTATCTTTATAGACTATTGGGGTACGCCATGTCCGCCTAACGGTGGAACAACCCCCATTTTACAAATTTCCAACTATTCATTGAATTGTAAATCTCGTTGCTCAAATTGTATAACTGTAATTTACATGTATTCAGTAGTTCAGATTGTATTATTTTTTATCAACATAAAATAAACGGAGCGAAACCACAGTTTGGACAAATTATTAATTTCTTTAAAAGTCTATATAATTACATTGCGTCTTATTGCCAATTTATATTATTATAATTATTCTTATTGTCAATTTATATTATTATAATTATTCTTATTGTCAATTTGTAAAGAGGGAGAAATGATTTTCGTGATAAGAAGTGTGCTATCTTTGTTATAGTCCGTCCCGCTGTTTATATGTAAAATAGAATATGACACGTCCACTATATTATTTTTATATACCTAATAGACAGATGTTTTTCTCTAAATTTCTTGTTCTCACAATTTATTACCCCAAATAGTGGGGAAAGATGAAAAATTGACAACCAT